TCAGAGCTATCGCTCTCCTTGATTCTATGAAAAATAGCTGGTCTGTCGCTATGATCGATTTTTCAACCACTTTTACGGGGGCAGGTTTCCCTTTTATATCCCCACTTTTCTTCCTTACAACCTTTACCCATTCGTCAACGGTGCTGGTAGAAGCAATAACAGTTGCGTCAAACCGAGTGTTGGATTTTGGGGGATTGTCGACGACCTGAGAGATCGTGTTATGTTTACCGTTTGAAACCGATCTAGCCTTGCGATTGCGGCTTCCAGGTGTTTCCTGTTGGATCTCATCTGGGAGACAGGGAACAGAAGACCCTACTTTTCTTGAGCTTTTATTTAAGGCAGGCCCCTTTGGATACTGCTTTTCCTTCTTTGCAGGCGTGAGTCATCTATTACCGGACTAACCTTAGTTTCCTTTGCGTTGATTTGCGTGTCGACAGATCGAGTGCTGTTTGACGCGTTCCGACTATACTTGCTAAAACACTTCTTTGCAGCATCAACTAGTGAGATGGCCTCGGTTAGCAAGCTGTTTGCATCCGAGCAGCACTGTTGACAAAGCCACACATAACCCTTCTTACTGAACCGTTTGAAAGCAGCAGGCGTCAAGTTCATGCGAACTTCGTGGCACCAGCCTTTGCACTCGTCGCACTGCATGCTGCTTTCAACAGGATAACGACAACCCGGACGTTGAAGACTGCTTTTTTTACACTGTCCGATCATTTAGGAGGGGTTCTTTTTTAAACTGTGATGATACTCAGAAACAAAATTTTTTATCAATGACCAAAAGTGAAGAGCTGTGGATTGCTAGGACCAAAAGTACTAACAGATACAGTTGAAAATGAGGTACTCAAGAGTACCAACGACAAAACAGAAAAAACGATACTTTAGCTGAGTACTTTAACTGAAATAAATTCGATTAAAGTGAAAACAGTAGTCTTGATACGTAGTAAACGATCAAAACAAACAAATTTACTTACTTACCACTGTTCTTTTTAAATAGCGCGCGTTTAATGTATTTAGCAATTACAAGTAAAATACATAACGATTGATGCTCTTGAATATGCCAACTAGTCATAATGTTTTACAATATTACGTCGATTGCAGCTTTCGTGAATTGTGTTACGTAAGTGAAGAACACAGAAGACGTTTTGATTTATATCAAATGTGCTGTAAAAGTGTGTAGTGACTCACGTTTATTACGAGAACACGACTGGTTCAAGAAAAACAATTATTATTATAAACAGTTGTACCAGTGTTTGTTTTTATGTGCTTTTGTTTAACTGTGCTAATTATAGCCATTTTGTGCTTCCATTACCTTCCAATATTGTTTCGCGGTTTTTGCTGCTGTTCGCACGTATTCTGTACTCCTGCTTCCGCTTGTACCGTTCTTGGCACGATCTCGGTATTCATTCGATACCACGAGATCGCCGAACGAATAAATCTGGTTACGCACAACCTACGCCTTCTGATATTCTTGGCACGTGTATTTTGGTAGCGGTGTACATAGTCAATCTCGACTCGACACCACGCTACAAGTGAAAGCAAAACTAGATAAATCGATGTGTTTACGCGAAAAGTTTATAATTCAGCGATTTTTGGAAAAGAACGATATTAAAGGTGAAAATCCGCATTATTTCCCCCGGACAGGTGAAAAAGCATACATTTTGATGTGTTTACCCGTTTTTTTCCTTTGTTCGCCTTTATTTCCTTTTTATTGGCTAATTGAACGCAAGTTTTACATCCTATAACACAACAAACGTGTTCAACAGATCCTTCAAAAACCTTTGAACGAAACTGTAATTCAGGATTCAGTTGACGAAAATTCCTAATCACAATTACAGTGGAATTGCTTAACTTTAGTGCCAAGCCCTTGAGGTTATTTGTGTTGTAGTTATGTCTTCAGATTTTTTTGGTTTTACATAAATGGAACTTTTCATTCATATTCTCTATTGTGATATGCGAATCCACGGGGCCCGATGAACTGCATTCTAGGCTACTAAAGAATTAGCTGACTTCGTTGCTTTATTCTTTCTGTCACTCATGGTCGTTTATCAAAAAACTAGAAGAACGCCATAGAAAGTTCTGTCTTCAAAACAGATACGAAACATATACCTGAGAGTTACCGGCTCTTTAGTCTATATAGAAACTTTTATTTAGAAGGAGCTTTTTAGGTATCTCGATGAGAACCAGATCCTTTCGGAAAAGTGGAAAGATTTTAGAGTATGTTGTTCCTGTCTCAGTAACTTGTTAGTGGCTCGTGGAAGCTGGTGCACTCTTAAAGACCTAGAGTTAACCATAGACGTAGGCTATGTTGACTTCAGCTAAGCTTTTTACGAAGTTCATAACAACCAGCTGTTATATAAAATAAGAAATGTCGGAGTTGGCGGCAATCTAATAATGTGGATAGAAGAATTCCTAGTCGGGCGCCATCAGAGAGTACGGGTGATTTTCGGGTTGACTAGCTTGAAAACTGTGCTTAGCGGGTTGCCTCAGGGTAAAGCTCTGAGGCCAGTGCTATTCCTGTTATATGTAAATGACCTTCCTTTTCTCCTATCACCATTGGTCTTACCATATGCTGACGATGCCAAGATGTTGAGAGCGATAGAATGTGAAGATGATAGCTTAGAACTTCAAAACGACCCGGAGAAATTATCCGAATGTCCTTAAACTTAGCAGTTTCGGATTATTACTTTCAAGTGTATTGTGATATATATTAGTTACGAAAAAACAGATACATACACGGTGATAACATTTAGCTATCTGTTGTCCAGATACACAGTGACGCAATAGCCATCGTTAGCCAATACTCAAAAACTATTGCACACTGCCGTGCAACAGCCGTCAAAGGTTTAAGAATACCTATGTTCAATACGTAGAGCCTATAGCCATGCCGATGCTAAAATCTTTTTGACACTGTACACAGCGTTCGTTCATCCTAAACTTGAGTACTGGATACAAGTGGCTAGTCTCTGCCAAAAACGACTGACTTTTTGGAAGATGTTCAAAGAACTAAACTAATCCCCAAAATAGCGAAGTTCGATTGGACAAACTAAACCTATTCACGTTGTCATATAGAATAACTAGAAGTGACTTGGTTACACTTTTAAAACTACCTAGTGATTAATTTGCACCCGGTACGCCTTTATTTATTGTCTTCCAAAACAGAAAGTCTTCGAAGACACTCCTAAAAAGTTCACAATCGTAGTGAAGATGCCACAGATAATCGAAGTTTGACAACGCTTTATGCACTAAAACCTTCTAATATGAATCGTACCCACCAAGTTAAATCAAAAGACAGAAGCGAGGGGGTTCGAAGATATATTTGATAGGCAATCAATATATCGGGGATCGTCTAATCTAATATGGGTAGCGATTGCAGGGGTTGTTGGGCACGGCGTTCCTACTCGTGATCTGGTGCGGTTAGATGACGGAGCGCCTTCAGCTAGGTGAATCCACTAAAACATACGGTCAGCATCCAATCTCAAAAACTTACAGAGTTATTCATTTTGGGGATTTATTTACCGATATAGGAGAACAAATTACTTGATTGAAACTCCATCTGTCGATTCTTTCAAAAGAAAGTTGAATAAACTGAGGGACCATCATTTTTAAGTCTAACACAGGCCAACAAACCTTCTGTCCCTTCAAAACCGAAACTGAAGATATCGGGTATTTGACGAATGTTGAAGCTATCAAAAAATATAAGGGCATCAACAAGATTACGGGTTTTACTCCATAAAAAGACGATAAAATTCGTTCGATATATAACAATTTTTCGTGCATTTGGTTTAACACCAGTCTGAGAAGTAACTACTACAAGGTCGTGGCTGACGTCGTCTCCTTTGCCTAGGTTGTGTTGGCGAGTTAGATGTTGTATGCTCTCCAGAAGAATGATTATTACTATTTTCATCTACATCCTCAATGCAAGCATCTGACGAACAACGTTTACGTCCATATGTACAGACATATCTCGAGAAAAAGTACTTTAGAGTTGGATCATCACTGTTCTTTAGGCATACCGACATAACGTACTTAGTATGCGTATCCTAAGAAAATAATTATTAACCATAGGAGTCATATTACCTTATGTACTACTTTCAAACAGGTCTAAAATTGTCCCAACTTGTAAATCTTCGAGAAAACATAATATCATTGAAGATTCATTCCATATTATGCATCATCACGATAGCATCGTCTTCGTTACTTGAAGAATGAACGTTACCAGACATGGTGTGGCTGAACTCAATTCAAATATAAGACTGTCTTGATTTGACCGCTTCTTAAAATTTTCACGAATTGTCGATGTTACGCTCCAATCATTTTGCGATAGTTTGACCTTCAAGTGCTCTCAACCCTCATAAGTGGACGATACCCTAGGAGCGTTGCCGTTTTTGTATGACCACGTTGAGTAGTTTATTTGTAAAGCTGAGCGTAAAAATACACAAAGTATAGAGGTGGTAATCATGCCTGCTTTTTTAAACATCATAAATCAACTTTGATAATTCTAGTTATGAGTATTATCATGTATTCAGTGTTGTTTACAGACTAACTCTCTCTAAGCTCCAGATATGAAGTTTAGTTTCACTATTTTAATCTAATTTCAAGTAATTTTAAATAACTTCATCCATAATGGTGTACAGATTACAGTCACCGTCTGCGATTTACCGAAATCGTACGCTTTGATATTTAGTATAAAAATGTGTATTTTTCACTGAGATACTTTAGTTAGTTGTAAGAATTATTTTACTGATGTTATGGACTCCGAAGCAGTTGATATTTAAACCACGTCACATGTTTTCCTACATTACAGGTGTGGTTTCTAGCGTTCGAATGACAAAACACTTACCAGTCTACATCATTGTGTTTATGCTACCAATATCTTTGCAAAATGTCAATTATAACAAATAAATTGATTTAATGCGTAAATAGATTTTTCGTGGTGCTCCATATAACATAATTAATTTTTTAAAACTATTGTCTAATTTTAGTGAAGCTTTTATAAAATGTCTGATCAACAAAGTCATATCCGCGACTTGGTTGAAAAGAAATTCAGCGCATTCTGTGCCAAACAAGGTGTTAGATGCTGCTTCGAAATTTCAAAGTACAGTATTATTACCCACTTAAGTACTTTTTTATTTAGTGAGATGGTACTTATTACAAATTGGATAGATGCGTTGTTGTATCTGTGTTCTAAACTTCCTGACAGAAAGCTGCAGTTGGCTTTTTTGGATTTCTGTATACAAAAGGGTAATTTATACCAAAATTCATCTGGTCGTGATAAATTATATCTTTAGCTACATTGTTGGATGAAAAAGTCATAGATCAGAGTAATCTTACAAATTAAACGAAATTGTTTTTCTATGCCTAGTTATCAAATACCTTTTAAGAATTTTCAAAGACACGACGGAAAACAGTTGTGTTCAAGGCAAACAATGCGATTCCGTTTTAAGTAACTGTGCAAAACTTATGGTTTATTGTTTAACGCATTCACATGCGCCATCTAATTCATATATATTTTTCATGGAAGCCATCGACCAGATCAAATCAATAATTTGTGGTATGTTAAGATCTTTTTTTCTAGTGGTCTGAATTTCAGGTCCCAGTAATGTTGAGTGTCTTATAAGCTATGCAATCTTATTCATAAATATTGTTAAATTGGAAAGAAAAAACTATTTGACTGAAGTTTGGATGAAATTATGTCTACTAATTTGGGTTTATTTTAGATATTGGCTGTGCTTCATCAATCCGAGAATTCACCTTCGTCAGATATCACAGGGAATCTGTCTTTTTTATTCCAATTATTTCATTGTAGTAATTCGCGAGCTCAATTAGCAATTCTACTAGCACTGGTTGGGATCCTATCTACAACTGATTGGTTTTGTAATTACGAGAATTATGGAAACATAAGTTTGTATGTTTTGTCTATGGCTGGATTTTCTGTTGATCCAAATGATCATTTGCTAAGAAAGTTTGATCGGAATGATTCAGTTACTAATTTACTTCAATCGAAAATAGTTTACAATTGGTCCAAGTCTGTCTTTTTATTTGTATAAACAGGTGTTTTATTTTAGAAAGAATTTATTAAATCACTGTGAGAATGATGTAGAAAAAAATATCGAACAATTTAATGTATTCACGAGTCCACTTCTAACATATTGTATAGACATGAGAAGCAGTTACATAGACGTTTGTTTTTAAATAGATCATTTCAATTCTCTATTTCTATTCAGGCTATTCGACATTCCGCTTTAGATACAATTGAGAATATCATATTTTTTCATTTGAAGTATTGTGACGGTAATTTGAGCTGCGTTCCATTTATTGTCATGTGACTAAATATTTATTTCAGAATGTCGCCAATCAAGAATATCTGATAACAAGTTAAAAATGTCTTGTGGTTATTTGAATGAAATTTTAAATCAGTTAGTGAGTGATTCATGTTACAGTCGCGGAACAATTGCTATGTTAACTCGATTCATCCGCTGTATGTCTAGGACGCGTGTGTATAGGACAATCAATTTATTGAACTCTTTGGATTATGTTTTTCAGCCATTTGTTAATGACACTAATTTAGAAATTTGTGGAAGAATTGTTTCAGGATTGATGAAGATTGCCGATGATCCTAACTTGGCGTCAGAAGTAAGTTGGTTGTCCCACTTACCATTCTTGTGATGTTATGTTATAAATTCAAAATTAATGTAAGATTGCCTTCGTAATGAGGCACGTTTGTGTGTGATCAATGATTTTCAAGAAGAAAACAGTTTACTGAAACCACTTGACCGGTTTACCATATTTCCTAGTGCTGAATTTTTATTCACTACTTTCGTTAAGAAATTTGATCAGGTGTGTACAACTGAATAAAACTATACATTCATGTTTTGTTTGATGATTTAATACACTAATCAAGTACAAATTCAAATGCCTGGCCTTAAGTTAAACTGATTGTGTGCACTCGAGTGTTAGTGATTCTACGTGGCTGTTCGAACCAAAGTAGTTGTAGTCGTGCTCGAACCTACTATCTGATAGTTGAAAATGCCTTAGGCACTAAGCCGCGGCCGAATTAATAGTTCTATTAGCTAAGTGATCGTCGCAAGAGCCTGACGTTCTTGGCTTCAATCCTCGGCAGGATAGTAAGGGTTCACTGTTGCCATTCTTTGTTCACTTGTAGTTGAAGTTACTTTCAGCTTTATGAGATAAAAGACATCAAATAATAAAGTGTAGATACTAAAAGTACTTCAACTTTGCAGTCATTATGTTGCAGTTTAAAGTTGATAGATGTCATTCAACAACTATTTCGGCTTATTTTCTTAGGATTTAAGGTACATTGTACAAAAGCTGGGAATACCACCTCTGGGGTGCTCAAACCGGAGTAGATAATGCAGTCCAAGTCTATTTTAATCACAAAGTTAATGTCTCATTTATTGCATAGTATATCTATGAGTGATATTTTACTATCCTTATCCGTATCTTAATTGAGTTGTACTTTGAAAGAAACCTTCCCGCCAACCATACGTTAAACCACTTGTTTGCATCCAATGCAACATTTATATAGTAAGTCATAGGCAATATGAGCTCAAGTCGCCAAATTACATTAGCATTCAGGGAAATTAATATAATGAATAGTAAATGAATCAAATCATTATAATAACAGTGATGGTAAGGAAAACTAAACATTAAAAAAATGATTCCTAAAGATAAAATGGGAAGATAAGTATGAGGGAGCATTAAAACTCAAGATCTAGTGGAAGAAAAAGGAGCCAATACATCTACACCATTTTCAACGATTCTGGGTTGTCATTTAAAGTCTCTAACCACTAATCTCAGTTATCTCCCAGACCTCAACCAGGTGGTCTGGGTCTACCAGCACAGCTCATACCAACAGTCAATGTCTTCATGGACTGATACCACATTGTGGTCTGACTCCTACCTTTCTTGTAACTTGCTTCTATTTCAGTCATAATTGCATGTTGATATAGGCAGTGTTTGATGATACATATAATACGTCTCAGTCCCTTCGGTCGATTAGGATTCAGTCTCATTATCCGATTTGTCATTTTTACATAGTACCCTATAGTTCAACTTTACTTTCTCTACCAGCTAGTATGTGACCCTCAAGCCAAAAACAATGTATCTGCTATCGTAAGATATAGTTCCACTTCATTTTCAAAGAGGAAGTTTTTTCGTATGTATCAGTAATATGATGAAAATAGTGTTTTTCTCAGTGGATTATTCATTTGGCTTTTGTTAATGGATTCTCTTTGGTTCTGTCCCGAATTCAAGAACTTGAATTTATACACTTATCAAAGATCCTACGCTAATATGTTTGTCTGTTTGAGCAGACTTGTCATCAATGTAACCGTCGTGGTATCAGAATTGTGGATTATAACTGTTCAATCATATTTCTTCAATGAACAAACAAAAATCTGTAGAACATAATTAACGTAATTATTTATACGACTCGGTTCATTCACCTTTCATACTTTGCTTCCATGCAACCGGATTAAAGAAGAACGAGTGTAATTCTGTTTTTATTTTAGGTGTATTGACGTAGTGATTCCTACAGCATGCGTAACCTGTACACATTGATGATCTGCACATCAAGAAAGAATGCATTGTAAGCATTCAGAACTATGGAGAATGTCTTGGTCAGATCAAAAATGAACAATAGCTTATTAGTTCAGTCATAATCCAATTATCAGATTGCAGGTTCGAACACCTCCTCACTTCTTTTTGAACAACTAGGTAGTATCACTATCTTTCATACCAGGAGTGTGGCTGAAAGCCAAGTAGACTAATATATACCTGGCAAACGTGTTAATGAAGTAGAAAACGAAGCTTTTTAATTTCACTAACCCCCTCATGCCAACTAAATGACACTTCAAGGCAAATTCATAAACACATATTCGGTAAATGATTTGGCCTATCCTTTCTTAGAAAGAAAAAAATAGTTAATTTATAATTTTAATACATGACTTTAAATTATTACGAAATAAACATTTGTGGAAGGAAGGTTTCACAAGGAAAAAACAGCCTTAAAATAATTACATTGACTATTTTATTGTTATTTAAAGATTATACATGTATGACTTATTATTTACCTACATAGATTTCGGAATTGTATGCATTAATTACGCAAAACTTGTACACTGAGAATGATCCACTAATTTATGTATGGTTATCTGGTTTAGTCGATACCTTTATTCGTAACTCTAACGAACCATTTCATTCTACAGTTATTCAGGTAAATGTTTTCTTTGTATCACTGATCCGTATATTCTTTGTTATAAATTCACATGAATTGTAAAAGTGAACTATACCACTGACCTAGAACAACTGATCAGCCAGTTAAAAGACAGCGCTTAGTTATCAAAGTTTTAAAATGATAAACAAATGTTTACATGTTAAATTATTCATTATAATCAATGGGAAAATAATAGGGTTAAGGTTGGAGTTGCAATGAGAAAATGCTTCGCAATGACAAACACGCATATGCAGACAGCTCTACAGATTGAAGCCTTGAAATCGTTTGAAGTTGCTGTGGAAAGTTTATAAGTCATTTTAACATGTTATGTACATTTTAATCCCATTTGTTTTTTATTATCTCCCCTTTAAATAAATAATTAATCACTTTTTTCCTCGTCATCTTAAACATTGCCCAAGTCTATTCTTGTTCTTTAATCTTGTCATGTTTAATAATTTTGAGCTTCTTGGTAGCAAGATATTGCTAGGTTTTACTTAGCTCTTATTACGTTACAAGCCATCCATCATTGCGTTTCAAATTTCTCACGTAAATCCAAGATTCTCTGTTCTAAAACTGACCAGCTCGTCGGTATAGTTTACTTTTGTCCACATTAATAACAATATGGTCTCTTGTTATCAGAGTTCATAGTTGACTGCTTTGCATAGGTTTAATTCTGAATCATCATAGTTGGTGACATGTTGTCATACCCATTTTATGGAAGTGGATTGTTAGTAATAAACCTGATTAATAAAATGCTAAAAGATTTTTGACTTAAGAGCCTTATTATAATCTGTTTTCGAAAGCCAGTTGACGTTTTTTGTTAGAAATATGCCTATTCGGTATACTACAATAAACTAAGTGCTTAACTATGCAACTAAGCGATTGTCGCAAATATTTTCACAAAGGCCCTAACGAATACTAGATGTTGCACTTAATGTATTTATTTCCTTCATAGTTTGTAAATAAACGAATAATTAACTACCGTCAATTTCGAAACTAATCCTGAAGAATAAGTCATTAAGATTTATCCATTCACTTAAAAAAAATAGTACATTGTTCAATAAAATTAAACTCATTAGTAGTTAAATGATTTATTTTCCTAGGCTATATCCTTCGTAGTTTGATCTGAGTTAGAATGCTATTGGAAATCAGTGGGTACACTGGGCAGTATAGGACACATCAGTTACAGTGCACATCTAAAACTTACCAGAGATCAAACCCAAGACCTTCAGGCCTCACCACAAGCACTTTATCCAACAATAAAATTTTGGTTTCGATCAATTTGCGATATATCTTGATGGTTATCTATTAATATTGGTGACAACTGTTTCATTCCAAACATAGCATCCTAACTAAGATCAATCCGTCCTACAAATGTAACCAATCTTCACTAAAACTTTCTCAACTAGATTTATTTTACTTCTGTTTCTTTTGGCATTAGAATATTCTACCTAGTTTAGTAAAAAGCAATCCTAAATTGTTGGAATTACTGGTAAAACGTTGCAACAGTGACTCAGGTAGTTGTTTTCTTTTGTTTCTAATGCTCTCTATTTTAACTGTTTTTTCTAATGTTTGCTAATTTTAGGGATTCTCTATCGAAAATCTATTCTACCCTAATTCAGTTTGAACAGTCATTAAGTAATGTCATATTTATCTCCAACGCATATATATATATATATATATATATATATATATATATATATATGGCTGCCTTCAACGTTCGCACACTTATGCAGGTCGGACAACAGATAGGGCTGGCTATATCTTTGGAAAGTCTTAATGTTGATGTTTGTTGTCCATCCGAGACCCGTATTCAAGACTCTGGTGAAGTACTACAAATTCGCTTTCCATCTGTCGCTTCAAAAGGCTTGTTTTACGTGCGTTCATCCAGGGACCCTATGGCATTTTCGTCTGGTCTTGCTGGCGTTGGTGTCGCACTAAGCGCTAGAGCTGAGGCAGCACTAGTCGATTGGATCCCCATTAACAGTCGGTTATGTGCTGTTAGAATAGAAAGTTCTATCAAAGTGAGAAATCGGCGTGAGAAACGATGTCTTTTCGTTATCTCCGCCTATGCCCCGACAGATTGCTGCCCGGATGCAATCAAGAATGAGTTTTACCACCAGTTAACTGTTCACCTCCAGAAAGTGCGCTCGACAGATATTTTAGTACTAGTCGGAGACTTGAATGGTCAGGTCGGGCGTCTAGGCACAGAACAGAGTCGTTTAGGTGACCGATGGTGACTTATTAGTCGCAGGACTGATGACTGGGACCGTCTACTCTAACTGTGCGCAGAACACAACCTGTTTCTGGCTAGCACTAACTTTCGGCACAGTCATCGCCGATGTGCCACCTGGCATCTTCCCTCTGCATCTCAAGCCTGGACTCAGATTGATCACATCGCGATCAGCTACCGCTGGCGTGGTTGTGTACAAGACTGCCGCTCCTTTTGGAGTACCTATCTGGACTCTGACCATGCCTTGGTCTGCTCCAATCTTACCTTACTTTTCAGTGGACAACGAAGTGACGGCCACCAACGGATTGATGTTAGCAAGTTGGTTGCAACTCCTGTTGCAAATAAGTATCGAACCGAGCTAGCTTCTAGGCTGGCTACCACTCCACGGAAAAGTATAGATGAGCATTGGTTACAACTTCATGACACCATGAAAATGGTGGGAACAGTCAGTTGTGGGTTTGCGAAACGTCCCGCTTATAAGCACTGGGTTTCTTCTGGTTCCTTACAACTTATTGAAGCCCGTCGGTCATGAGGAGCAGGCTGGGTTTCGTTCTGGTCGAGGATGTATTGATCATATCTTCACCCTCCGTCAAATGTTAGAACACCGCCATACTTATCAAAGGCCAACAATCGTAGTGTTTCTTGACATCAGGGCTGCCTTCGATTCATTGTACAGGACTGTTCTCTGGGATTGTCTATTGAAGAAGGGTGTGCCTGAGAAGTTTATTAACATCTTAAAAGCCCTATATACGAATACCTCAGGCAGAGTGAGGGCATACAACCACCTTTCTCCATTGTTCTATTCGAGCAGTGGGGCTAGACAGGGTTGCTCATTCCCTCCATTCCTCTTCAACTTTGCCATCGATGACATTCTGGAAACAGCTCTGATGGATGTAAGTAATGGCGGTGTGGATCTGTTGCCTGGAGAAAGACTTCTCGACCTTGAGTATGCGGATGATATTGTCTTACTGTGCGATAATGCCCAAGGCATGCAATCCGCACTTAATCAGTTGGCAATCAGTGTCCGTAGGTATGGTATGTGCTTTGCCACCTTCGAAGTACAAAGTGCTTCTACAAGACTGGCAGGATTCCAATCCTGTACTCACCCTGGATGGTGAGCAGATAGACGTAGTCGAGAAGTTCGTGTATCTGGGTAGCTGCATAAGTGCTGGTGGTGGCGTGAGTGATGAGATCAATGCACGTATAATGAAAGCCAGAGCGGCTTATGCCAATCTGGGCAACCTTTGGCACCTTCATGATGTCAGTCTGGCTGTATATATATATATATATATATATATATATATATATATATATATATATATATATATATATATATATTCAGCAGGAAAATCCTGCTCTATCTAGGTTTCGTGTTGATTAATTTTTGTCAATGTGTACCTGGAATATAGAGAAAACTGATATCCCTTGGTTGACTCGAGCTCTCATCCTACAGTTTCACAGTCTGAGATGCTACTGTGGTTCATCCTACTTATGCTGACGGATGTAAGTAGTAGTTAGCAGCAACCGGAAGTGGAATGCCTGCTAGCAGAAGATTACAAAGATTGAATTTAAACAAAAACAAAAAGGGAAACAGGCAGCAACTGTGGTAAAAAAGAAATTGAAGAATCATGAGGCATATAATGGATTACCGAAGGAAGATGTGCAAATAGTGCATTTAACGTATGGTTTCCATACTTTACGAAGGCAGCCAGCAATTTTATGTTGGAGAAGAAACGGTTTTTCCCATTCGAGGTTTCGTTCACTACAGTACCACTGAGTTATTCAGTCTACTAAATGTGGATGGTGCTGGTCTGAATCCTTCAAGCAGCACCACTTTCCTTAATGGCTAACTAGTGTGTAACCTATTCCAAGCATCGTCTCTTCCTTATTACCCCCAACCACGTAGCGTCCTGATATATTACCCTCCATGTGAAATCACTTAGACTAGCGACTACACTATTAAAACTTGATCGATAGAATTCGATCAGCTCTAAAAATCTAGACAAACATGATATTGATCACTAGTCAGTGATCAATCAATTGCATATAAAATGGAATGTGTTTTAAATCAAAAAGTCACAATCTCAAGGTCTATGTTATGAGAATCTCCATTTTTTTCAAGTCTTTAAATAAAAAAATTTCACTCACACAGTAGTTTTACTTTTGTTTGTTTCGCAACAGTAAAAATGAATACTGACTTGCCTACGTTCCTACTAACTTGTTATAATCTTTTATCATTTAATGGAATGAAAACTGACTGTTGTGAATACTTGTCGTTAAATTTCTTATCATCATGTCTTCGCTCATATGATAACCAGGTAAGTGCATATTATGTAACTGTGCATATATATATATATATATATATATATATATATATATATATATATATATATATATATTTACGCCTGCCGCTTTCTCACTCACACTTGTCGTCCAATAATATAAATAGCTTAAAAATGATAGAATCGGTTATTATTGTTTTATGATCATTTGTGCAGTGACTAACTTTTAATAACAATGACCTCTACTATCCATGCTATCTCCAGCAAAGATTCAAGTCCGAACAGTGTTCGAACCTACGATTTAGTGGCTGAAAGTCGAACTAATTAACCATTACTGATGGATAACATTAAAATGAGATGTATTAATTTACTTTATCATTATACAAACTTCACCCAATTAATCTTTCATCATCGTTCAACAGATTTAGTGTTCTCTGTTTTTCGCAAACAAACACGGCACTAATTCATATTTTCAAAGAGGAAATATTGGCTCTTCATTACTTTTCAAACTATATCAGTCCTCTGTTTCGGCATTGTCTTTGAATTTCGTGTTTATATTAAGTGCCCTTGTACTTTTACATCATGAATATAGACCTTAGTGGGGTAATCATTAGGAACCAGGAAACAATGTACAACTGTTTCGTTCTAATGTGGAAGTGGATATCTAGGATCCCACGGGATATCAAACTCAGAATTGTTGGGTTTCGTGGTTAACTGTTAACCATTCGAACTACTGAGTTATCATACAGTAATCCATATCTTATTATCCTGATTTTATGTGGTAAACATTTCACTAATTAAATAGTAAGGAATATCATATGACAGTCAAAACTAAACCGGAATCGTGGTAATGTCCTCTACTTAAATTTTTTTGTTTACAATTTTATTTTACATCTGAATACACAAGAAATTTCTAAACGTTTTTTTATCTAATTGCTTTTTATTTGAAATTCAAGTTACGTCTTACAGCTTTAAATGTTTTAGTAAGTTTAATTATAAAATCCAAACAAAAAATGATCTTATCAAACGAAAAATTGGAAATGTTTCTTAATTATCTCAGACACGATTTGTGGCCAAATTCAAAGCGTATACACGGCCAAATTGTCAGTGCAATTAAAGATGTAAGTTTGTTTGTGTTTCTTCCTGTTTCCCATCCTTCTATCTTAAACAGTATTTGTCCAATAAATGCACTGACTTAAGCTACTGAGACTGCTTTGTATATGTATGTGCCACACAAATCACTCGATATATGTGAAAGCTGGAGTACTACCAGGCCTCCCAAACCGAAGCAGGTGGTTTCCTTAGGGGGCCACAGCCCAAGTCTTTGATCTAGAGGTCTAATCCATAGGGCAGTGGAACAACATTAAGAGATTCAGTTCTATGATAACCGGTGACCAAAAATAGGTTCATACGCCTTTTGTTTCCTCACAAAGTGAGCCCAAGTGCGTCATTGGTTTGGGATCAGGGTTTTACCCTTCATATTTACCAACCAGGTTAAAGCGTCGGACATTCGCTTTTTATCCTCTCAATTTTGTAAACAACACTCCCACTGCGAGAAGTCAGCAAGTAGGATTCACCCGACGGTAATTGTATACGCGTAACCAAGTGAGAGCTTCCGACGGTCGACCGTACCAAAACAATTGGGATGCAAAAATGTGGCGATGAACCGTTGCAGTGTAGAATTAATCTCTCAAGATTGGTTTCGTGCCCAAAATGCAAAATGATCGTACAAGACCGACAGTTGATGAGCATTAAAACTATAAGGACAGTTAAAGAACTTTATTTCCTTGAGGACTTCTAGTAATCCTTCAAAAAGCACGAATCGTGGATGTGATAAATATTGTTTATACCACAAATGAAAACAATATTTCGAGCAAGTCCGAGACTAATGTAATGAAAAGATTTGTAAACTAATGCGTTCATGACTTCATTTATCAAGTTTATAAGACAGAATACGTATATTGATTGAATATTTACAGTTGAGCACATACGTCAGTCATTAGATCATAGTAAATTATCCTGTTATATATATATGACAGTTTGTTAAGAAGTTTATAATTTGTATGAATTTTAATTAGTCACCAACGAAAGATATTGAGAATAGATTGAATCAGCTGTTATATGTTAATGTATTTTGCAAAATAATTATCAATGAATATTTACATTGATATCTGAAAATAATATTTTCGATGAAATCACTATGTTTTATTAAATTTATTGCACTGGCAGATTTTATTGCATACACTTCCAATTATGAAACGTGAAACAAACGATACCAATTTAAATAATCTTAAAGTAAGTTAAATGAGGTGTTGTGGATTTTTAAAAATAAATTTATAGTGCTAATCAACAATAATAGTATAATAATTAGCGTGAGACCGATAGGTCCTGGGTTCGAACCCAACGGGGCGAGATCGTGGATGCGCACTATCGAGGAGTCCCATACTAGGACGAAACGGCCGTCCAGTGGTTTCATGTTTTCTATGGTGATCCAGCTTCAATTGACTCATGAACTCACCTATTAACCTAGCTTGAGATAAATTTAAATATTTCCATGTTTTCTATGCCGTGATCTTTGATCTGTTTTTAGTCTCTTTTCAACACAATCAGTTCATTCTTCAACTTACAACGATGTTTCTATTCTGTCTCCTTGTTTAGTTTCTTCATTTATTTGAACATCTACAGCCAAACACAAGTTTCAGCATAGAATGCACAGGTTTTGCTGTGACCACGATAGGGTTTCAATATTTGTAAATCCGTTTAACATGTATAGATTCGTGTACTTGGCTGAGAGCCATTCTATAAGCATCAGGCTTAATTATACTACTTAGTTATCAAAACGGAGTAGGCGAAGCAGGGTTCGAGCTTAGGATGATAGTCGAACACCTTAACCACTGTACCGCCCTCTAATAATTGAGTAGTTAACGTGCATGTAAGTAGTCACGATATTATCGTTATCATATATCGTTGGTGTGCTCCTGTCTCAATACGAACACGGTTGACTCCATAGGTTTCGGTTTTACAACGAAACATTAAGAACTTCGTTTTCAAGCTATGTATTAGTTCACTGAGCTTTCATTATGTTCAGACCTTGTACTGTTTGAAAGTAGTTTTCATTCTAACTGAAAAATTTTATGTTTTGTCCATTGTGGAGTTGTGAGTGTATAGTTCTGTGCAGCTTTATACTAAGCCGAAAAACTTTCAAGTACTTCATAGTTTTCAATATTTACCTAGCCAAGTCAATCGATGGTATAAAATAAAAACTATCAATCTTCACAAATCTATACTAATAATGTATGAAACCTCGTAAATGTAACTGTTGTATTCTACTACCCAATTCAGTCACGTTATACATCTCTTACTGTGTACTAAACCGATTATGTAAGTGAGAAGACTGAAATCAGTGTAAAGCTGTAATTGCCGAACGAAAATACAATGTACTTATATTATGGGTATATATACGATCATCTTTTTCGACCCAAACAAAGACATGCATCCTGAGACGTTGTATTATTATTATTATTTCAACACATAGATATTGGTACAAAGAGGCACCAAATACATATGCGCCACACAAATCTCATTCGATATGTGTGAGGGCTGGGATACTGTCCGGGTGCCCAAACCGAAGCAGGTGGTTTTCTTAGGGGGCCACATCCTGAGCCTTCGACCTGAGGGTCTGATCCACAAGGCAGTGGAGCATCGTAAGGAGATGCAGTCCCATGGTAGCCGGTGACCAACAATTGGTTCATACGCCATTTGTTCCCTCAGGATACTGGAGCCCATGTGCACCATTGGTTTGGAATCCGGTTAAAGCGCCGGACGTTCGCTTTTCGTCGTCTCATTTTCGTGAACAACACCCCCTTCACGAGAAGGCAGTGAGTAGGACTTCCTTGGCAGAGGCTATATACACGTAGCCATGTGAGAGCATTTCGATAGGGAGAGCGGACTCTCCCCACTCTCGGCTGTACCAGGGCATTTGGGGGCGGGACGTTGAACTGGTAGATAGTCGATTTTCTTCAGTAGCCCACCTCCTTTATAATTCTTCACTTACCGTTTGACTTTAAGAGACGATGTCATCACAGGCGCATACTATGCTTAGCATTGTCCAGCCTATAAATAATGCAGTTGAATAGTATTGCATAAATATTCCAGGTTTCCTTGCTATTATATATATATATATATATATGTTCACGTGGGTGTTTTCAAAAAGAAAAATGCTCATCCTACTGTTCTTTTTCTTTAGTCGTTTCATGTTGAAATGGTTCATATCTTGATGACATGTATTTACCCTGGATCACCAGCATCTCGTCTATCATTAGGCTTAGCTGGATTATACACAGTTGTTGAATGCTTTCATTCTGTTTTTTATACCGATGGTTATTCAGGTAACATTTTTATTTTGTAATTTTTATAATGTAATTTTTGGTGTGATACACTCAGTCAACATATTTGTTAATAAGGTAAACACTTAGTATGTCAGTGTGTTATGTTGCACGATAGGTTCACTTTATTTTCTGACTGATATCCTCAAACAATAAAGTAACTGTATATCAACCTTGGAATCTAAACCATCTATTTAGAATCAATGTTTTCTAACTCTCCAAAACAAACCATCCTTATGCATCAAGCGGGTTCAATCAGTGGACATCCACTGCCATTGTCTCACTTATCCAGGAAAACGTTTGCTATGTAAAGACAGCGATTAGGCTAGCTATTGACCAGACTATGTAAGCTGGTATCATGTAAGAAATGGATCATTTTCGCGATTTAATCACTCAGTCTTAACATCAGCAAACTTTATACCATTTGAAAGCCACTTTTAACAGTATGTATAAAATAGGTTGAGTCTGTCTAAGATGGTGTTGTAAGACGGGAATACTTATCATCTTTGTACTCAATTATATATTACCAAACTTAAACCCTACCTACGTCGTTCTACCAACCATATAAATTTATTTGTGGGTATGAGAGTTTGTCCTGAAATGAAAATAAATATATTTTCGTTATGTCTACAATCATCCATGATTGTAACAGTGTAAATGCAGTGAACAAGAAATCTGCAACTTAAAATTCATATGTTTATGATAAATATCAACAATTCGTAATCAACTCATATACTTTTTTAATTGGCTATGTTTTCCTTTTTGTAAATAATAATAATTATTATGTAACTCATTATCACTTTGTTTTAAATTCTGAAGAGTTCACGGCACAAATTATGAGTTGTTTAATTAAAGCATCTCAAAATGTATATACAATACCTTCATTTACCGATGAAAATTTTAAACCAATCGATCACTCAACGTCACAGCTGCTTTTTCTCTTTTTGATTGGCTTATGCAGTCGATTTGATGTTGACCGAGATTATACCGTGAAAATACTGTTGAGATTGGATGTTTTAAAACAACTTGTAAGCTTGTCATTTTTTAACTGTTTCCCAAACGAATACTACTCATAATTGTTGAAACAAGCAATGCCTGTTCTTGTGTGCATATTTATACTATTAAGTTTAGTGCATATGTGTCCGTGCTTCTGTGTAATTCGTTATTATATTAGTTAGCTACTTGCTTAGAATATACAGCTCTATTTAAATTCAACAATATTCAAGATAAAGTAGAAGAAATGGAACATGAGAGCCGACACTCAACTACATTCAATTAAAATTAATCCTAATTAGAAGTGACAGAAAAAAGAATAAGTCTCCAAAGATGATTGTAAATTAGAATACTGAAGTAACAGCCTTTATTTTTGAAGTGGTTCGAATTTTATCGAAGTCGTCTCCATGCCCAACCTACAAAATCTAAATAATTACTATCTAGCATACATGTAAATGGTCCAAACAATTAATCACGAAATATAGCTCCATTAAAATATCAGTAATCCATGAAAATTAAATGTTGTTTATTTTAAAACACTAGTACTAATGAATGATACAATAATTAAATGCCGTAAAAGAGCTTGTAAGTACCCTTTTGTATACCTATAACTGATCAGAGGATAGAATAGAGGTGGATAAACCGTTCTATCAACAAACCTTGTGAATGCAGATCTTATTTCATGTGAACTTCAAGTACACATCGGTAAAATAACTTTGAATAATAAAGATACTTATGTACTTCATTTATTACTAAAGCCAATATTGATCAATGTAATCATAGTTCTATTGTTACCTTATCAAAAAGATACTGAATGCAACTATGTATAGTTCTACACTTGTACTTTACCATCAGAAATCATCTGTTTAACGTAACGTGTTGTAGCGCTGTGTCAGTCATTTGAGATATGTATTTCTACTTATTGAAGTTCATATGTATGTAGAACGCTTATTTATAGATTGGCTCTCAACAGACAAGCATTTGAAATCCATGATATTTTTAATTACGAATAGAATGCAGTCAATGTTGCATGTTTTGTAAAGTTTTCTATTCAAGTTGTCATTTTAAATGTCTATTGGTCCCATCTTATGATCATGACTAACTAACCCAATATATCCAAATAAAATAGAACAGTAAGTTAAAGTGTAGCCTAGACGTCCTGAAATATTTAAAATATCATGAAAAATCCATTCTTTTATATCAAAATATAGTGACTGTTTTGCTGAGATTACAGTGAAATCATTTGTATGTTTTAATGGCGCAAGTTAAGTTTCATGAGTCACTGACAAACCAGATTCGTTTTGATTCCAAACATCAAGTCTCACTAGGATACATTTAACTTATCCTACTTCTGTTCACTACTTCATGATCTTGTGAGCCAGAGAAATGTTCATTATCAAATTAACACAACAATATGAAGTGAACGAGATGAACAATAAAGGTGTCAGAATGATCTCTGTAAAAATAATAGTATGAAAAACTAAATATTAAGAATATATTTCGACAAGGAATAAAAAGGCATATATTAAACAACCGTAATCCAAGATCTAAAGGAAAATAGAAGGTGAATACATCTGTTCAATTCTGAGCCGTGTCAATCAACATCTGTAGTTTTTCATGATAATCGTGTGTACCTCAACTAGATTGTTTGCATTTATCAACATTACTCGTGCCAATAGTCAATGGTTTCACAACTTGATGCCATGTCTTGGTTTCATTCTAAAAACAGTAACGTTTTTCTCCATTGTTTTCATTTCAAAACTTAATTAAACATGCCGCGTGATTCTGCTTTCTTCAAGAAAATACTCCACACAACGTTGTTCCCTTACTCTCAGTTTACGTATAATACACTTCATGTAGTGTAGTTCTAAATTAATAATCTTCCTACTCCATCACATTTTTTTCATTTTAGAATCCTAATTATATCAATAAATTATGGACTGATACACTAGAAATCTATGCTCAAAGTTCCAAACCGGATGTCAGTTCTATTGCTGGCGATATATTACGTTTTCTTATATATGGTAATGAGAATGTCAAACCAGTTGTCTTCATCGTCTGTAGATGAGAAACTTATACAAGCAATTGATTGTCTACTCAACCAACTTCAAGAACAAATTATAATTTGTGAAAAATTACCAGTAATTGGTTTAATGTCTGTGGCAACTTATAAACCATTTTATGCTATACTTAGTACAGTCCGTTCTATTATTGGTGTCACCTCATCATCACCATTGAATAAGAAAAATAAAAAGCCTACCGATGCTCAAACTTGGAGTAGCACATCAATTAAGGCAGAGTATGTGTATTGATCTTTTATGTAGATGTACATGAACGGTTCTAAGAATTAGTTTCAGAACAAGCTTAAATGACTCCATATATTTCGTTTTCTATAATTCAGGTTACTATCCTTAACCGTCATACAGATAAACAGTTTGGTTGAACTTGGTAAATGAGTTACACTCTACTTCCTAAATCACTTGTGCGTCATCACATCGTGTTAAACAGTTTCGATGTATGAATTTAAAATAAATCAGAATAGTTGCGGAGAAAAGCACATAATAGTTGTATTATTTCCTGACTTACTTGAGTATATGAAAGGCTATGATTGTCTAAACATACTATATGCTTGTACTCACATACAGATGGAAAAACAGACGAGATATGCTGTTGAAAGTAGTCCCTTGTGCTCCTATTCTCAACCTATATCTCATTAGTTGAGTGATATAAATCAGTTATTTGTGTATCTTATTATTTGGTTTTGCCATGTTAGGTCAAACAAGAAGGAGCTGAATTCAGTTTTCTGCCTATGCGCTCCTAACATTAAAATTGAATCCTCCCTCTAGACACAGTTTATGTAGTCAACTATGAAGCCTCCAGGTAGTAACATGCTAGCTACTTACACTTTAAACTTTAAGTAAATTGTGTACAATAATTTGCAGACCATAACGTATGTGACTGTTACTGATTCATATCATTTCGTAAGATCTGTGGCCATACTCCATGATATTAAAGCCTTTGAAAAACCTACATAATTCCTACTAAAAATCCTTTTGATACTATCACATAAATAACATTAAGGTCAAGTTGGAAATTAACAGGTAAAAACAAAATATGAAATACTGCTATAATTCTCTAGTAAGAAGTGACTCCAGTGATAATAACCAGATATTTTACTGTTATTTGAAAAAAAAAACACTTTCTTATAGATCCTTGTTCAAACAAATTAATGGAGTAAATGTTATCGAGCGTATAATTTCACTAGGTCTTCGTATATCTGAAATTGTGCTACCAGTTGTTGGACATGAATCACCTGAAGGTGTCTTGTTAACTTCACAACAAGACGTAATCATTGATGATATTAAAGTGAGCAACGATCATATTTCCTTTTTCTGGTTACTGTATATCGAACTTAATCCGGTGACATCCTAATATTCACTGTATTAATCTAAAAAAAAACAATATAAGGGACGGTAAAAGTGTACTTTTACTAACAAACCACCAACCAGATTTAAAACAGCGGCTATCGGATTTTCATGCGAAACTCAAAAGACCATGACGGATACTTACTTAATTACGCCCATTATTCTCGTGGGGGAGCATAGGTCGCCCACCAGCACTCTCCATCCAACTCTGTCCTGGACAATCCTTTCCACTCGCTTCCAGTTACTATTCATCCTTTTCATATCCACTTCGAACTCCCGGCTCCGTGTGTTCTTCAGCCTTCCTCTTTTCCGTTTCTCTTCAGGATTCCAAGTTACTAGGGCTTGCCTCGTGATGCAGTTTGGTGATTTCCGTAATGTATGTCCCATTCACTTTCAACGTCTCTTCCTAATTTCCTCTTCAGCTGGAAGCTGGAATGTTTCCTCCCATAGTAGGCTGTTGCTGATGGTATCTGGTCAACAGAAATTAAGAGTCTTGTGTAAACAACCCTTTACAAATACTTGTACCTTTTTGATGATGGTTGCAGTAGTTGTCCAAGTTTCAGCCCCGTAAAGTAGGACTGTCTTGATGTTCGTATTGAAGATTCTGAGTTTGATGTCGGCTGAGAGTTGTTTTGAGTTCCATATATTCTTCAATTGTAGGAATACTGTCCTTGCTTTGCCAATCTTCACCTTTACGTCTGCATCGAATCTTCTCGACCTTGAGTATGCGGACGATATTGTCTTACTGTGCGATAATGCCCAAGGCATGCAATCCGCACTTAATCAGTTGGCAAACAGTGTCCGTAGGTATGGTATGTGCTTTGCCACCTTCGAAGTGAAAAGTACTTCTACAAGACTGGCAGGATTCCAATCCTGTACTCACCCTGGATGGTGAGCAGATAGACGTAGTCGAGAAGTTCGTGTATCTGAGTAGCTGCATAAGTGCTGGTGGTGGTGTGAGTGATGAGATCAATGCACGTATAGTGAAAGCCAGAGCGTCTTATGCCAATCTGGGCCATCTTTGGCGCCTTCGTGATGTTAGTCTGGCTGTAAAAGGTCGGATCTACAACGCGTCGGTGAGAGCAGTTTCGCTCTATGCTTGTGAAACCTGGCCTCTCCGAGTTGAGGGTGTTAGACGACTCCTTGTGTTTGATCATCGTTGTCTCCGAAGGATTGCTGATATTCAGTGGCAACACCATGTCAGTAATGCAGAGGTTCGGTATGGTGTGTTTGGGCACAGAGATGATAATTCAATTAGTGTCACCATCTTGAAACACCGACTTCGGTGGCTTGGACATGTTCTACGAATGTCGTCCAAGAGAATTCCACGTCGTGCATTATTTGCCGACTCTGGGACTGGTTGGAAAAAGCGGAGAGGTGGTCAGTGCATGACATGGTGTCGTGGTATGAAAGAAAGCTGCAAAGGACTGGCTTGTGTTGGTCCTTCACGACTCCCTGGTTGGGGTCTGAGAGATGGTGCTACACAGTGGCTAGAGACGTTATCAGAATAGTCTCAGAATATAAGCCAGTGGCAATCCTGCTGTAACCTTTTACTTTCTTCAATAAAAGTGGTTGTGTCTCCCTTACTTGAAAGATTTCTTCTGATTGTACCTTTCCGTTCCATCGTTACGATTACACTACCTAACACCAATCTCTTCGTTATCGTTCTCTTTTTCTTTTGTGGTCCTTAGTTTTTTTTTCTATCTCTCTTCGAATTTTCATTGTTTTGTGTGGCGCATATATATTGGCGCTCTCTTGTACCAATATTTATGTGTTCGAATAAATACATAATCGAATCTTCCTTGTTCATCGATGATGCTGACCAAGTACGTAAACGTTTCCACCTGTTCCAAAGCTTCTACATAAAGTGTGATTGAGTTGGTGTTCTCTGTGTTGTATTATATCTTCACCCTCCGCCAAATGTTAGAACACCGCCATACTTATCAAAGGCCAACAATCGTAGTGTTTCTTGACATCAGGACTGCCTTCGATTCGTTGTACAGGACTGTTCTCTGGGATTGTCTATTGAAGAAGGGTGTGCCTGAGAAGTTTATTAACATCTTAAAAGCCCTATATACGAATACCTCAGGTAAAGTGAGGGCATACAACCACCTTTCTCCATTGTTCTATTCGAGCAGTGGGGCTAGACAGGGTTGTTCATTCCCTCCATTCCTCTTCAACTTTGCCATCGATGACATTCTGGAAACAGCTCTGATGGATGTAAGTAATGGCGGTATGGATCTGTTGCCTGGAGAAAGACTTCTCGACCTTGAGTATGCGGATGATATTGTCTTACTGTGCGATAATGCCCAAGGCATGCAATCCGCACTTAATCAGTTGGCAATCAGTGTCCGTAGGTATGGTATGTGCTTTGCCACCTTCGAAGTGAAAAGTACTTCTACAAGATTGGCAGGATTTCAATCCTGTACTCACCCTGGATGGTGAGCAGATAGACGTAGTCGAGAAGTTCGTGTATCTGGGTAGCTGCATAAGTGCTGGTGGTGGTGTGAGTGATGAGATCAATGCACGTATAGTGAAAGCCAGAGCGTCTTATGCCAATCTGGGCCACCTTTGGCACCTTCGTGATGTTAGTCTGGCTGTAAAAGGTCGGATCTACAACGCGTCGGTGAGAGCAGTTTTGCTCTATGCTTGTGAAACCTGGCCTCTCCGAGTTGGGGATGTTAGACGACTCTCTGTGTTTGATCATCGTTGTCTCCGAAGGATTGCTGACATCTAGTGGCAACACCATGTTAGTAATGCAGAGGTTCGGCATCGTGTGTTTGGGCACAGAGACGATAATCCAATTGGTGTCGCCACCTTGAAACATCGACTTCGGTGGCTTGGACATGTTCTACGAATGTCGTCCAAGAGAATTCCACATCGTACATTATTTGCCGACTCTGGGACTGGTTGGAAAAAGTGAAGAGGTGGTCAGTGTATGACATGGTGTCGTGGTATGAAAGAAAGCTGCAAAGAGCTGGCTTGTGTTGGTCCTTCACGACTCTCTGGCTGGGGTCCGAGAAACGGTGTGACCTATTGGCTAAAGACGTTATGAGATATGGCTCGGAATATAAGCCAGTGGCGATCCTGCCGTAACCTTCTTTTACTTTCTTCATAAAAGTGGTTGTTTCTTCTTTAACTGAAAGATTTCTTCTGATTGTACCTTTGTGTTCCCTCATAATGACTATGATTATTACTACATTCCCTTACTCCAATCTCTTCATTATTGTTTTTTTTACGTTCCTCATTGTTTTTTTTTCTTCTTAAATTTTCATTGTTTTATGTGGCGCATACATATTTGGCGCACTCCTGTACCAATATATATATATATATATATATATGTTCAAATAAATAAATGAATAAATTTGAGGGTCCTGCATCTTCCCTTGTGTATGTTGAGACCTACTGATGCTACACTGGCTGTCTTAATCTGAGTTTGTTGCTTTGTATGGAATAGAAGGGCTAGGTCATCTGCGAAGTATAAATCGTCTAGTTGCATCCACACTGTCTATTGTATTCCGTGTTTTCCCTCAGATGTGGAGGTCTTTATAATCCAGTCAACCACCAGAAGAAAGATAAAGGGCGAGAGTGAGCAGCCTTGTTTTTCACCGCTCCTCACTTGAAATGCATCTGTCAGCTGTCCTCCATGCGCACCTTTTCAGTGTAGTTCGTCGTATCAATTCCGTATGATGTTGACGATTTTCTCAGGTACACCTTAGTGTCGAAGATGGTCCCATAACGTTCTTCTATTGACACTCTCAAATGCTTTTTCATAGTCAAGGATGTTGATGTATAGTAACAAGTTCCATTCAATTGATTGTTCGACGATGACTTGTAGTGTCGCAATCCAGTCTTTGCTCAACCGATCCTTACGAAATCCAGCCTGTTTATTTCGAAATTGGACATCTGTTGAATTTTTCATCAGGTTCAGCAGTACTTAGTTGAAAACGTTTCCTGTTACCGATGGTAGTGTGATAACCATGTATTTCTCACATTTGCTCAGATCTTTCTTTGGTATCTTGTTGGGGTGTCCTTCTTTTCAGTCTGTCGGCACTTGTTTTTCCTCTCAAATCTTCGTGAACAGATCGTGGAGCATGTTTGCAGTTAGTTTTGTGTCTGACTTTACTGCTTCGGCTAGTATATTGTCATGTCCTGTCGCTTTTTCACCCTTGATTTTTCTGATGTTCATCATGATATTTTCCGTTGTTGGAAGGTCTGCGTGTGCTACTTCGATGTCCGGTAGGTTCACTGGAGCTCGTTTATTCATGACTTTCTCAAAATGTTCTACTCATGTGCTCCTCTGTTATTAAATCTCAGTGGTTTCCTTAACTCCTTTGTATTTGACGGGTCATTCCCATTTACTATATTTCCCTGCTGGTTTTTTTCGTTATGTCACATAATTGTCTCGTATTTCTTTCCTTTGTGCTTTTTTGCTGTCGTCACTAGCTCTTCTACACATTTCTGCTTGTCAGCTCTAATTCTCTTCTTCACTTGCTTGTTTGCTTCTGTATATTTAGCTTGTGCCCTGACTTTTTCTGTTCTTGTTCGACTGTCGTTAAATGCTGCCTTGTCCTTCGTTTCTTGAGTCTTGTCCAAGGTCTCAATAGAGATCCGTTCCTGATTATGATGCTTCTGGTGGCCCAGAACCTCCCGACACTTTGAAGTGCTTCTTTGATCTCTTTCCAGTCGTTCTTCATAGTAGTTTCTTCTTCTTCGAGAAGATCGTGTAAGGCTTGGGACCTGTTGAGATTTATCTTGAATTCGTTGAGTTTGTCAGTATCTCGAAGGAAGGCTGTATTGAACCTTTGTGATGCTATTTGTACAGTTTCCCAGTGTTTCTTTAGCTTCAGTTTCATCTTGGCAACCGTTAGGTGGTGATCTGAAACTCCTCTCCTGGTTCTCACGTCTTCTATTGACCTTGTGAATTTTTTACTGATGAAAATATGGTGGATCTGGTTCTCCGTGGTGTGGTCCAGTGAGACTCATGTAGCTTTGTGTATGCGTTCGTGGGGGGAATATTGTGTCGCCTATAATTATTTTATTGAATGGACATAAATTTGCAAATCTGTCACCATTCTTGTTCCTTTATCACAGTCTATGTCGTCCCATGATATCTTCATATCCGGTGTTGTCCATCCCGACTTTGGCGTTTAGGTCTCCCATCTGGATTGTAAGGTCCTTTCTTGAGCACTTCACTATGACCGATTGTATCCTCTCGTAAGACTGATCTTTATCGTCGTTATTGCTATCATTGGTGGGTGCATAACATTGGATAACATTTATGTGATCCCCCTCCCTCTTTGTTTTGAAGGGTTATTTGATGATTCTGGATCCATGAAATTCCCATCCTAAAAGTGCATTTCGTGCTTCTTTGGACGGCATTAGAGCAACTCTCTAAGTGTGTGGTGCATTTTCCTCTTCATGATCAGAGTACAACAGTACCTCTCACGAAGCTAATATTGTCTGTCCAGCTAGAGTTCAATAAATTCCATTTATCCTGAGAACCACCAAGTTGTACCTCCTCATTTCCGTGACTATGTGACTGGTCCCAAACTGTTCAGACATTTTATGTATCTATATTAATTGTTGTTTTGGTTGCTAGAATGGGCATCAGCCTCGTAACTTCCTAAGAATATCGGCTTTCATCATGAGGCGTCATGATTCTTCTAAATGAAGATCCTTCAACATGAAGGGCGTAGTTTAAGAGATTTAATTTGCTTATTCTGGTTAGCGTTTTTTAGCAAGGTTGTTTTCTACGGGGTGGGTTTGCTGACACCATACCCAACCCTTCTCCTTTACCTGGACTTGGGACCACTCGTAACCCTAGAAGAGCTACAGACAGAGTTTCCATGACTGATAGCCTGTGTTTTATTAAGAAAAAATAAAAAGCTATTGAAACCTACGAATATTAAGTTACCAGGACGTTTAAAATTAGTAAAGTTGACCTGACTATAAATTAGAAGTAAAATTGAGCGGTCCATAAAGTAATCATGAGGAAGTGGTTAGTTTGTTGTATAAATTTGGCGCGAAACGAATTCAATAAAAAAGTGTCTACCAATTTAACTACAAAGACTTCCTTATTATCCCTAATAAGTCGTTAACTTGCTGCTCGTCTAATGGTTGGTGCAATCAAGCGGCTTTTTATTATAAAAAATCATTAATTTATCTTTTTTGTAATTAGAGTGTTTCGCAACCATTTTTATTCTAACATTCCTTGTTCCCTCTATTTGAAGACTGCAGATGAAGAAGCTTCTCAATTGTATAAATTTTATGAAAAAACACGAAATCATCCAGAATATTTAATTTTATGTTGTTGGCGTTCTGTTCGTGAATTATCTTTACTTATGGGTATATCACTTGTCTCATACGGTTTGAATAAATTCGATAGTGATCAAACAAAACCAAAAGAGGTTTGTGAGTTGATTTTTTTCCTTTTTATGATGTATACGATAAACACTTTCATTTTCATAGTCTATATCACGGATTGACATCATGATATGTGTTTAAAAACATATTGTGAAAATTCTTTAAGTTTCATATGAAGTTAAACAATATTCAATCTATTATTTCTCTACTGTACAAATTATTCTTCTTTTCTACACTCTACACTACAGATTTTTTCTATTGCCCGATTTTTCTGTACTCAGTTACTTTGTTGCCGCCATCGTGGGGCATTTGAACTGTGTGCAACTGGATTTGCAAACTTTTGTACTGCGCTTGTAAAGTAAGTCGATGAATTGTATTTTGTATCATTGATGATAAGATTTGTATATATTTGTTTATCAGATTGCTGGGTTTTGTGGATACTGCTGCGAAAAGGTAATGAGTAGGGCTTCTCTGACAGTGGCCCATATATGCGTGGTCATACGCAAGCATTTCTAGAGGGAGAGGAGACTTTCCCCACCCTCAACTGCACTCAGGAATTTAGACGCACATTTGTATTGCGCCAGCAGAAGTATCTTTTGATGCTGAATATTTATTACTGATGAAATTTATTTTATACAGCAGTGACATCTATTAGTAACTTAAACCACAGAGTTACAAAGAACCAGTGGATTTCCTCAAGGTCTATCACACGGATGGATTCTCGCAAACTCGTCCCATCAGGTTCTGAACATGATGAAGAGCGTAAACAAATCAGATCAAGGTTAGGAAAAAGTCAAAGGAACTACCGTGAGCAATGGTGGGTAACGAAAGCAAAAGAGATGGAAAAGGCGGCGACTATAGGGAACACAAGACAGCTTTACAGACTAATAAAAGAAACTGGAGTTAATAAGTCAAGTGTAAGTGAGATTATTTTGGAAAAAGACGATACTCTCATCTGCTCCCAGTCCAGACGTTTAGAACGATGGGCGGAACATTTCAGAGAACAGTTCAACTGGCATTCAGCTACTCTACAACCATCCTCCATTCCCAGACAATGTGAATGGGACGTTGAAGTAGGTCCCCCAACTCTTGCTGAATTTGAGAAGGCTATAGTTAATCTGAAACGAGGGACGGCAGCTGGTCCAGATGGATTGGCTCCAGAGGTCTTTAAGGTTGGTGGTCCAATTTTAGCGATTAGGTTGCTTAATATTTTAGCTAAGATCTGGGAGTTAGACGTTATCTTATCTGACTGGTCGCAATTACTTATCGTCCCAATATATAAGAAAGGGTCAAAATCGTCCTGTGACAACCACAGAGGGATTAGTTTAACAAATATAGTATCTAAAATACTAGCCTCGATAATTATCAAACGTCTAACTAAAACTCGTGAACTGCAAACCTCCTACTAGGAGGTTCACTTATCGACTTAGAATACACAGATGACATAGTCCTGTTTGGTGAAGACGCTGAAAAAATGCAGTCTTCTGGTAGCACTAGGCAACAATGCCAGAATGTTTGGAATGCGATTCTCTACCTCTAAATGCAAGTTGTTGCTTCAGGACTGGCCTGCGTCGACACCGGAACTAAGAATAGGCAGTGAAGTAATCGAACGCGTTGACAACTTCACTTATCTTGGAAGTCTGATCAGCCCTAATGAGTTGCTGTCTGACGAAATTTCAGCACGGATTCGAAAAGCTCGTTTGGCTTTTGCCAACTTACGTCACCTATGGCGAAGGCGAAATATCCGTCTATCAATAAAAGGACGAGTATACTGCGCGGCAGTCCGTTCTGTTTTAATTTACGACAGCGAAACATGCCCTTTAAGAGTAGAAGACACTCGTAAGCTACTAGTATTTGACCACAGATGTCTTAGAAATATTGATGGCGTCTGCTGGGATCACTAAGTAAGTAATAGTGAGGTTAAACGCAGGGTATTAGGGAATGATGGTAAATCAGTTGATGAGGTTGTGAATCTTCATCGACTGAGATGGTTGAGCCACGTGTTATGTATGTGCCTGGACACCGATTACCACCACGTGCAATGCTGACTAGTGTTGGAGATGGTTGGAAGAAAGTTAGGGGCGGCCAAACCAAAACGTGGCATCAGTGCTTGAAGTCACTAACTTATAGTCTGAGCCATGTTGGTAGATGCAGACTACTTGGTTGGGGTCCGCGTGACTATCGTAACCAATGGTTGGAGACTCAGAATCGATCACGATGGCGTCGGTGTATACACTCCCTGTCTTCTCTTAAACTAAGAGATTAAAATCACTTCATATCTTTCTTTCTACTAACTAATTCTTTCTTCCTATACTATATCCTTATTGCAATCTTTCTCCTATATATTAACACTTTTGACCTAACCACTCCTATGAATCCTGTGTTCATCTTGCTGTGCTAATGAGGTATGGCAACCTGGACCGATTCACATATGTGCCTGGTTCTACGTTGTAGCTGACTGACTGACTGATACGTAGTCGAATAATTTGTTCGCTCTCTATGAGCCTGCAGCACAATTTAACAGTGATTGTATTTTAGTCATAGAAATGATAACTAACCAACCAATCTTCTTTTCAGAATTCAATGATTTATAATTATTAGTAGTAATTGTGTGTTAACTGATGTTGTTTGTTTTAGGTGACATTGGTTGCTGCTCAGAGATCATTCCTACTAATGGAGTTTAGTCGTTGCGTGAATATCTCTCTGTGAGATGGTATCGTGTTTGTCACTGACATTAACAGAACCCGGTTCTAATTTCAGAGAGAACACCAATCCCATCATCATTGAATGAACTCTTTCCTGACACGCGCACATTGCCATGGAACATAAGTTATGATCTGATCTTCCTGTTATATGTATTTTTACCGACTCCAACTTGTAGTGCCCTTTTTTAAAACATCAGTTACCTTGTAAGAGTAAAATACGTTTAAACGTCTTGTTTTTCGGTTCTCATTCATCACCATGTTCATTCTACTTTTTTCTTTTTTAAATATAGTCATCCAGCTTATTTTACAATTCCTATTCATTGGCTTAACGCAGTCACTGGTCAAACTTTGTCATTAAATGAAAAGTCGACAAACGATTGTTCGACTGTAGTAGAAAATATTGATTTTTCACTAGAATCATGTATGGGAAAACATAATACAATGGAATGTATCACTCGTCGTGGTGCCGGTTACCCTTTATTTGTTCAGGTAGGCCCTCTTTCTTTTGGCCTTCTGGTTGACTGATATATTGAAACTGGTGTGGGTAAGAATGATAATTTCTGGTTGTCTGTTTAGTCAGAATTGTAGATAGTCTGATAGGTGTCAGATGAGTTATATATTCCCCTATCCTTATTGTTACTTATTATTGATTGTTCATCGTTGTTGGATTGTGTCGGGTTTTGGTGTGGAAATATATTTACGTTGTGGTCAGGCTAATCACGTGTTCTTGATGTGAGTTGTGTTGATATCCTGTAGAATAGACACTAGGAGGGAATCTAGTGTAGATATTCATCTAAGGTAAATTGACGTCCCATACTTGTAAACGTGAAAAACCAACCGTCATAACATTGGCGGGCACAAGTTATAACAGAAACACTTAACCTTTTAACTATCGTGATGCATATTTGAAATGCACTTTCGTTTTTGAACAACCTCGTAGCACATATCTGACTGCGGTGCATATATATATATATATATATATATATATATATATATATATATATCTGTCAGAGATGTTAGCAGCTTGTTATTTATTTCTAATAATGCTGTCACAAAACTGATCTGTCTGTCAGAAGAGTAATTTCAACATTGTTGTTCAAATACACATTTTCATTTCCAGATTAGACAGTGCATTTGGTAAAGATAATAAATCGGGTGATGTAGTTGTGAATCTCCACGTATTTTGTTTGTTCAACTACTGCCTTCTATGATGTTTAATTTCGGTTGATTTAAAAATAAGTTGGGGAATCTAATGTCGATCACGATCACCTTGTAGTTTTACTTTCGATTGATGCATATCACCTGACAGAGTGAAATTTCTAGAGGATCTCACTGAATTATCGGAATATTAAGGAAACATATTTATCTCATCTAGTTTGGAATTGACAGTTGTCTTTAAAGGGTTTAATCGTCCAATTTAAGATTGTTCATGGCATCAATAATTCAGTAATCAAACGTCAAATATCATTATTGATTAGTTTCATGCTACAGCCATTATTCCGTGTACCAATGTTTACGTTAAATTAAATTGAGCTAAATTCTTTTTAGAACTCGGACATCAACATTTGAATTGGTATACGGTTTAACAACTTGGTCTAATGTGCATTCATATATGATTGATTCTACACTGTGACCTGTGAATGATTGATGATGTAGTTGTTGTTTCCTCACACGAACTCATTCAAATCGTGTAACAACTATTAATCCTATTTTTTAGTTTCTCTCATTAAAATTGTATTATTAAGAAATTTAATTTTTTTATTCTTATATTGATACAGGCTATTTTAACTGCATATTTAACCCGTCAAACTAATGTATCAACAACAACACTTACAAATACAGTCTGCTGTTTACTCAAATCAGTTAAAACGTTTCTTTGTAACAACAATCTTCAACAGTCCAACAACCTTGTGAGTATACTGTTATTGCTTAAGTTTACATGTTCTTGATCATAGAAAAAATCTTACTTACTTACTTACTTACTTACGCCTGTTACTCCCAATGGAGCATAGGCCGCCGACCAGCATTCTCCAACCCACTCTGTCCTGGGTCTCCTTTTCTAATTCCATCCAATTCTTGTTCATCTTTTTCATGTCTATTTCCATTTCTCGGCGTAATGTGTTCTTTGGTCTCCCACTTTTCCTTTGGCCTTGAGGATTCCATGTGAGGGCTTGTCTAGTGACGCAGTTGTGTGCTTTCCTCAATGTGTGTCCTATCCACTTCCAGCGCTTCTTCCTGATTTCTTCCTCCGCTGGGATCTGGTTTGTTCTCTCCCACAGTACGTTGTTGCTAATAGTGTCCGGCCAACGGATCTGAAGTATTTTGCGTAGACAACTGTTGATAAACACCTGTATCTTCTAGATGATGGCTTTCGTAGTTTTCCAGGTTTCCGCCCCATACAGTAGAACTGTCTTGACATTTGTATTGAAAATCCTGACCTTGGTGTTTGTTGACAGTTGTTTTGAGTTCCAGATGTTCCTCAGTTGTAAATATGCTGCTCTTGCTTTGCCGATCTGCGCCTTCACATCTGCATCAGATCCACCTTGTTCATCAATGATGCTGCCCAAATATGTAAAGGTTTTTACATCTTCTAAATCTTCTCCGTCAATTGTGATTGGATCGGTGTTGTATCGGAGAACCTTGCTCTTCCCTTTGTGTATATTGAGACCTATTGCTGCTGAGGCTGTTGCTACACTGATCGTCTCCTCCTGCATTTGTTGTTGCGTTTGGGATAGAAGGGCCAGATCATCTGCGAAGTTCAGATCGTCCAATTGCATCCTAGATTTCGATTGTATCCCGTGCTTCCCTACAGATGTTGACGTCTTCATGATCCAGTCGATCACCAGGAGAAAGAGAAAGGGTAAGAGTAAGCAACCTTCTTCTTTTAGTGCCTCTGCTGGAATGTTGTCTGGTCCTGCTGCTTTGCCACTCTTGATTTGTCTGATGGCCATGCTGATTTCTTCAATTGTTGGTGGGCCAACATTGATTGGGAGGTGCGTGGGCGCTGCTTCGATATTGGGTGGGTTCAGTGGAGCTGGTCGATTCAAGAGTTCTTTGAAGTGTTCTGCCCACCTGTTTTGTTGCTCTTCAATGTTGGTGATTACCTTGCTTTTCACTGGTCGTTCTGGTTTGCGGCGATTTCCAGAGAGTTTCTTTGTTATGTCATACAGTTGTCTCATGTTCCCTTCTCTTGCAGCCTTATCCACCATCTTTGCTAGATCTTCCACATATTTACGTTTGTCTGTTCTGATGTTCTTCTTCACTTGTTTGTTTACTACTGTGTATTCAACTTCTGCCTTGGCTTTTTCTGCTCTTGTTCGACTGGTATTGATTGCTGCCTTCTTGTTTCTCCTTTCTTGAATCTTATCCAGTGTATCAACAGTGATCCATTCCTTGTGATGGTGCTTCTTGTGACCCAGGACCTCATGACATGTTGAAGTGATTGCCTCTTTGATCCCCTTCCAGTTGCTCTCCACAGCAGTTCCTTCTCCATTGAGTAGATCATGAAAGGCCTGGAACTTGTTGCTGAGGCCTATCTTGAATTTGTTGAGTTTGTTAGTATCCTAAAGAAAGGCCGTATTGAACTTTTGTGATATTGTCCGCCCCATTGTCCAGTGCTTTTTGAGTTTCAATTTCATCTTGGCGACCAGCAAGTGATGATCTGATGCTATATCAGCTCCTCTCTTGGTTCTCACGTCCTCTGTAGTCCTCCTGAACGTTTTGTTGATGCAAATATGGTCGATTTGGTTTTGCGTGATGTGATCCGGTGAAGTTCATGTGGTTTTGTGAATGCATTTATGTGGGAATATGGTGCCGCTTATGACCAGCTTATTGAAGGCACATAGGTTTGCAAATCTCTCACCATTTTCGTTTCTTTCTCTCAGTCCATGTCGTCCCATGATGTCTTCATATCCAGTGTTGTCCGTTCCAACCTCGGCGTTGAAATCTCTCATCAGAATGATCAGGTCCTTTGTTGGGCACTTCTCGACGATTGACTGCAGCCTATTGTAGAATTGATCTTTAGCGTCTTCATTGTAGTCGTTGGTAGGCGCATAGCATTGGATGATATTCATTGAAATGCCCTCCTTTTTTGTATTGAACGAGGCTTTGATGATCCTTGGTCCATGAGATTCCCATCCTATAAGCGCATTTTGCGCTTGTTTGGACAGCATCAATGCAACTCCTTGTGTATGTGGGGCATTTTCTTCTTCATGGCCGGAGTATAACGGAAGCTCTCCTGAAGTTAGTCGTTGTTGTCCAACTTGCGTCCAATGTGTTTCACTGATCCCAAGTACCTCTGTGTTGTATCTTCTCATTTCTGCAGCAATTTGGAAGGCTATCCCGGTGTCCCACATTGTACGAACATTTCATGTACCTAAATAAATGGTCGCTCTGGTTGTCAGAAGGGGCATCGGCCTCGTAACTTCCGAAGGAATTCGGCTTTCATCATGAGGCGTCATAGTCCTTCTAAATGAAGACCTTCTGACTCCCAGGGCAGAGTTTAAAAGGGTTTAATAATTTTTTCTGGTTAGCGTTTTTTTAGAAAGTTAGATTTCTGCGGGATGAGGACGCTAACCTCATGACCAACCCTCCCCTTTTGTCCGGGCTTGGGACCGGCAGTAGCCCCCCGAGGGACTCCAGGCGCATTAACATTATTTATTTTGGGTAAAAAAATAGTTAACAAACGAGACACTCACATCTGAGAAAACCAATCTCAAGTTTTGTCTTAAGAGGAAGTCAAACCGATCCAGAAGTACCAAAAAGACTGTTCCTAAATCCTGTACCACTTCGTTGAGCCTGATGTCTTTTTGTCAAAGCTCATCCCCAGGTCAGAGGAAATTCGTTACCCTTAGTATTAATGGGCATTTGTTTAGATTGCAAATAGACACTGCGTCTGACGTGACAATTCTCTCACGAAAACCTTGGATCAGAATGGGCAAACCACGCACCGTGCCAACAACACAAAAACCTCTTACTGCATGTGGTTATCACCTACGTTTGTTTGGGACAACTAGATTGTAAAGTTTCACTTCACAATTCGACGTTTGCTGGGGTATGTTATACAACGCCAGCTGATCTAAATTTACTTGGTTTAGATTGGTTCGACCAGCTAAAATTAGCTGATGTCTCGTTAAATACCATATGCCACCTAGTATCACAACCACATGACCCTGAAGCATATACGAGAAAGCTAGTGACGCAGTTTCCATCTATTTTCCAACCTGGATTGGGTCGATGTTCTGCCGCGAAAGCAACGCTTCGATTAAAACCTGGGGCTAAGCCTGTTTTCTGCCCCAAAGACCCGTGCCTTACGCAACATTACCAACAGTAGATGAAGAATTGAATCGTCTTCAACAACAAGGAGTTATTACACCCGTTTCTTACTCTGCTTGGGCAGCACCTATAGTTGTTATCAAGAAGGTCAACAGCATGATACGTACATGTGCTGACTTTTCTACAGGTCTCAATGCAGCTCTGGAACAGCATCATTATCCTTTGCCAGTTCCCGTAGATCTGTTTACTATGCTGAATGGGGGAAAGTTTTTCACAAAACTGGATCTAGCTGATGCTTACTTGCAAGTGGAAGTAGATGAAGCATCAAGAGAGCTGCTTACTATCAACACTCATCGTCAGTTGTTGCAGTATATCCGTCTGTCTTTTGGAGTCAAGACTGCCCCATCTATCTTCCAGCAACTGATGGATACCATCCTATCAGGTATCTCGGGGATCGCGGTTTATCTCGATGACATTTTAATTGTTGCGACGACATTAAAACAGCTACAGGAACGCACGACACTGGTACTGCAACGTATCAGTGACAACGGGTTCCGCTTAAGCCCAGAGAAATGCCAGTTTTTATTGCAGTCAGTCAAGTATCTGGGGTTCATTTTTGAGGTCGACGGCTGCAAGCCGGATCCTGAGAACATTCGAGCTACCAAACTGATGCCCATCCCCACTAATGTCTCGGCACTACGTTCCTTCATGTGACTTGTTACCTATTATTCAACGTTCGTTCCTTCGATGCATGAAATTCGCGCTCCATTGAATCGTCTGCTGAAGAAGGACAGCACTTGGAACTGAACTAACGAGTGTGATGCGGCGTTTTGTAAACTCAAGTCGATAATTAGCTCGGAATTGTTGTTAACGCACTACCATCCATCTATGCCAATCATCGTAGCTGCAGACGCTTCAGCTTATGGCCTAGGTGCTGTTATTTCACATTAGTTTCCAGACGCATCAGAAAAAGCTGTTATGCATACATCCCGTACACTAACCCCGGTAGAAAAGAAATACAGTCAGATAGGAAAAGAGGCCCTTGCACTTGTGTTTGCTGTCCGACGTTTCCACAAGTTTCTGTACGGTAGGAGATTTACGCTTCTGACAGATCACAAGCCTCTGCTCGCAATATTCGGGTCGAAATCTGACATTCTGCAAATCGTCTTCAACGATGGGCCTTGGTACTCTTGGGGTATGATTTCGAGATCCAATACCGATACACTCAACAATTCGGTCAGGAAGATGGTTTGTTACAACTCATTAATGATCAATTGGCGGCTGAGGAAAACATGGTAATCGCATCTCTGTCAGCGGAAGACCACGCGGAATGTTATCTGACAACCGCAGTACGGGCATTGCCGGTGTCTGCAACAGACATACGAAACGCTTCCAGGAACGACCACATCACCAAGATGGCGATGAGCTATGTCACCAACGGTTGGCCGTCTAAGAAGTTTGATGGTGAAATGAAACAGCTGTATCAGCGGCGGGATTCACTATGCATTGTAAATGACTGCTCGATGTTTGGAGAAAGAGTGGTTGTGCCGGAGCCCCTTCGAGCAAAAGTGCTGAAACAGTTCCACCTTGTTAATTCGGGGGTTAGACGAATGAAATCCATAGCCAGGAGTTATGCATACTAGCGCCCAGTGGACCAACCTATCACTGAGTTGGTTGGAAAATGCATTCGGTGCTAGCAAACAGCAAAGGTGAATGCCAAAGTCCCGCCAATTCCATGGCCACAACCTGATCATCTTTGGTTCAGGATACACGTCGACTTCGCGAGCCCAATTAATGGGACTATGTATTTATTTGTGGTCGATGCGTTTTCAAAATGGTCAGAAATCAGTCTTGTGATGCCGCCCACGATAACTAAAACAATACAGCTCCTCACTGAAATCTTCTCCCGAAATGGCATACCAGATGTGATTGTATTCAGCACTTACGTTCGCCACCATACCACCCGCAGTCGAATGGGCAAGCGGACAAGTTTGTGGATACGTTTAAAAGAGCATTGGTTAAGTCAAAAAGGAAGGGGACACCAATTGACGCGTTATATGAACGGTGATTATAAGGTAGTTTCTCGTAAAACTCATTGAAGTTTGCCCCAGAATATTGTTGTTTGAAGACTTCAGATTATGCAGTTTCATTTGTTAGTAGTTCAAGTATAATCAGGATAGTGTTGTTCTAATTAATTTTCGTCAAACAATCTTCGTTCTTATTAGATTTTTTTGTTCTCATTTTTATTTTTCTAGTTTATTATGTTACAAATTTGGTTCCTTTAGATACAGAATTGTTCAGTGACAATGTTGGCTTCTTGAATAAAAGGATTTTCCCTGAGCTCATAATCTCTCTTCATTTTCCATTCCGTTGACGTTTATTGTTAAAGTGTTATGCGTCAGTCATACGTCTATCGAATTTGCATAGTTCTACCTACATATTAGCAGTCTATCCTAATCATTCATGATTGAGAAGTGTGATAGGCTATTTTACAAAACTTAACACATTGTCTTCACAATATTTTTTTATGGCGAGACTATAATTTGCTAACAAATAATTCAAATTTAAGGTACCTCCCCTCCATTCATCCATGTAGCTACATAACAGTGAACTAATTTAAGTTCGTGGTGAAAACTTTAACTGTAACTCTTAATTCTTATTTATTACACCAATTCCTAGCTAGTTTAGTAGTTTAATTTTTTCAAGATCACTTGGAGATCATCCATCAACAGGAGTTTTGCCGTCAAAACATAATGCTTTTATTTTGACCATCACATAACCAATAGACTTCATTCAAATAGTACACCACACAGACAACAACAGTTGGATTTAACTAACATGCTTATTGGTCCACATGAGTTCTCTAATCTTGAATAGCAAGTGAGGATACGTGAATAACGAGTCGTTCTCTATTTACCTTCTGCTATTGACTCAAATATTCACATTTAAAATATTCATCCATTTACAAGACCAAATTCATCATAAATAAAAAGAGATCACAATCTGTACATTAATAGGTCATTTGTGGTTGAAAATGGGGTTCATTTATTAATTAGTTAAATACATAAAAACTACTACTTAGGGGCGCCAAAATTTATATGCATGAAGTATCGACTGTCTAGTTAGAGTCCATGTGATAACCACAATTAGTGGTTAGAAATGTTGTGTGAGAATCGTTCAAAGTGTGCTGCAGATATATTCACTCTTTATTTCGTTCTAGATTCTGAGTTTCAGTATTCCTTCATACACACCTGTTTATTCCATCTTGTCGAACCACATCATAAATGTTTTTTCTCTCATTATTTTCGACCCCTTTACTGTTTATCCGGTTAATTATATTTTGTAGTTCTAATTTGGTCTGACGTCTTGGGCTAATGCACATTTGCCCCAAATTTTCTGTTAATCATTATCTGATTTTCTTTATCCTAATTGTTTTTAAACATTTTTTTTCCAGAGTACATGTGTACTACACCTAAATATTATTCGCGATATATTTCAATCAAAAAATTTTAATTATCATACAGATAAATATTTACAAAAAGCATTAATTATTGCTTTGGATGGTGTTGGATGTGGAGATTTATCAGTGATTTATATATATATATATATATATATATATATATATATATATATATATATATATATATATATATATATATATAAATTCTGAGAGCTCTTCAAAGCGACTTACTTTTAATCCTGCTGGAACATGAATATAGCAATCAAATAAAACTTCCTATAGATTTTAATTCAAACAGTCGTGAGATTGGACAGTTAGTCACTTCAACACAACAGACCATATATAAGGAATTATATTGTGTATATTTACAAGCCGTAAATAAGTAAACAGATCTAATTTAGAAATAGTACAACGTATATCGTTTATACTATAAATTCGAGTTTTAATATAGGATAATATAGAAATATAACGATCACTGGTTGGATAGTTCAAAAAGTGTAAACTTTCTTAAAATCCTCTTCGATATAATACACATCTAGTGGGATATGTGTCATAGTTTGGTGTGTATATGATGTATTTTCATCAATCATTTAACCAAATCATAGTAAATATTCAGTCGATTTTCATGAAGGAAACTTTTAGCAAAGATAACCGTTCATCTAAAAATGTAATTCATTCAGTGAGAAACCCTAAATGCCCTGGTACAGTCGAGAGTGGGGAAGGTCATCTCTCCCTCTCGAAATACTATCACATGGCCACGTGTATACAACCACTGCCAGGGAAGTCCTACTCACTGTCTTCTCGTGGCGGGCTTATTGTTTACGAAACTGAGAGGACGAAAAGCGAATGTCCGGCACTTTGACTGGGTCGGTGAATACGGAGAATCCACCTAGGGGAGTTGGAAAACCCTGACTCCACACCAGTGTTGCACATGGGCTCCAGAATCCTGAGGGAAAATGGCGTATGAACCACTCGTTGGTGACCGGCTACCATGGGACTGCATCCCCTTACGTTGTTCCACTGCCTTGTGGATCAGACCTTTAGGTCGAAGGTTCGGGATGTGGCCGCCTAAGGAAATTACATGATTTGTTTTGGGCACCCGGGCAGTATCATAGCTCACACACAAATTGAATGATTTATGTGGCCCATATTTATTTGATATCTAGTTCTACCAACGTTTATGTGTTTAATTAATAAAAAATAATAAAATGCAATAGGATAAATTTCCACAGTAGTTAAATAATATTCGAGAAAATCACCGTGAATATATTTAATGTAGCAACTTAGTAATTACAGTATCGAACACCTTGTTCCTATAAAATATGGTCGTTTTAAATCAATTGTTTAAGATATGTGAAGTGGATTTTTGTTCCATTAATTTAACTGCTTTAAAAAATACATAATTAATTATAGTGAGCTCAGAAACTGTCACGTTGTTGAATTCACTTGGTATTGTTTACTTGAACCGAACGGTACTGCGTTCATGTCCCAGAGTGAAAATGAAATCTGAGATTTAGGTACATCCAGCTGACAAGTCCCAAACAAGACGCCACTATGCATCTCTGCTTATACTGTCACGTTTTTTGTTTTGGATTGATTAAATTTACATTGCATACTACAAAGTTGAAAGGTTTTCACAATATACTATACTAAATTGTCATCATGCTTTTACTACTAAATAAATTTGAGAAGGTTTGACGCAGTAGAGCTGCTTTAGCCCAAAACCGCCAATTAGGGAGCAGCGAATTATCGATCGGACCAACGACGCATAAAACACGTGCGAGCAGTTCAGAGTCCCTATTGGTCCTGCTTTCCGCCTAGCCCAGCCAGTTAAGTTCAGAACACCAGTCTCAGCCTCTGCAATATGAACCATGTATTTCAAACATACTCTGTTTATACACCAATCAAGCAGACCACATCGTACCATAAAATAGAAAATAACATCTGTACAAGATTTGGTCAAATGTGGCTGTGAATGTGGGAGGTATTGATTAATAGACAGAATGATTCAAGAATGGAAAATCGTATAATAACAGTTCATAGGTTAAAATAAAGCTTATGATAAGAGAGACATGAATATGAATAGTTTAGTTAACAATTATGCGACAAAAATATGCTCACAGTATTGGTCCATAAATCGATCCCAAAAAATTACCACTCATTTTTCTTATCGGGACACAACAAGAACTCAGTCATATTAGGTGTGAGATAAGCATCACCAATGACAACACTAGACAAGGATCCTGAAATATCGCGAATTTACTGAAGTTATAGATGTAAATCAATTCAGTAGTTTGAAGCTAAGTTCCTATTGATAATCTTCATGGTCCTAGAGTTGTGAATACTCACGTTCACTGAAGTATTCACCATACTAGTATTGAACAGCTGTTCGGTACTTTCCTAGTCCTTTATGGTTGCCTACCTGCGATCAATCTCTAACATTAAATTTTAAAATAAAACCCTGTTACATGTTTTGTGTTTTGAATTTATTACACAGATACGAAATGCTTCCATACTTTTTTATAGTACACTAGTTCAACGTATTTTTGGTGTAAATCGATCAAATGCAGTTAAAAGTCGAAAAAATTGGTTTGTATTTCCTTTATATATATATCGATTCCAATTTTTGTGTATTCACACAAGTGAATGAGAATTTCAATTCAATTACCAAGGTTTGAAACGTATGCTTTAACCGCTACACTTTTTGGCCTATATTTTGAAAGTGATCTTGTTTGTAAAGTCACTTTTCAGTCAATCAAGAGAAAAAGAGAGTTAACACCAACCAGGAGTATTGTACTAAAACAGACGTTTTGACAAACTTTTTAATTATTTCAAAACCTATTATCAGCTTTCCGACTTGTGTATTATAAAAAAATGTCTCTACAGATTTTTATCGTTCATCTGAGCGTGAATTGGTTTCTTCATGGTGTGGTGGCTTAAGTGTTGAAACTCTTAACTCCTAACCATTAGGTTACTGAATCGACTACATACACTTCAGTTCAAGCAACTGAGCGGGCGGTCACTATCACTATCTCTCAAAATTTAACCCGAAGATCAAATACAATGCACGAATGTGTTCTCAAAATTGATTGATCACTAATTAGTGGCTGGCGCCATGTACGTCAAATCTTAATGCAGATGGAATTCTATCGATCACGTTACGATTTGGCCACTAATCCAAGTAACTTGACATTGTGTGCACTACGTAAAGACGTAAGGCGGTGGGTAGTTGTAGGTAGTCGACAGAAAACCCTGAACCTAATTTTCCTGCCATCCGACAACTTGGTCGATATAATTCGGTTAGCACTAACAAAGACTTGATATACATTATATTTGCCACAACTCAATGATGAGTCAGTAGTACATATATCTCAGTCCTACAGGAGGTCAGTCGCAGACCAAATAGGTCAGTTGTGGTAACGTCTCGGATTGGGAAGCTGGGTAACATAAAGTCAAATCCACCAAGGAGCTTTGAGTTCCTCAGGATTACAGGTACAGCTCCGAATAACACGAAGACTAGGTTAACCAAGGTTCCGTGTTGACTACCATCAATCACCTTACACGAATCTCTGCTTGATAAATGACTGAATGAAAACCATGAGTGTTTTTTCTGTCCACATTGGTTTAATCGTGAGTGTTTGGTCTTAACTCCTCCTGCAAAGTATGATAAAATTAATGATTATTATTTGTTAATTAATAAAAATTCTTTTGAATTATCCAGTGTCTGTCCAGCATATATTGGGTTAGGAGGGTATAAATATGCTTTTAAGTAATGTAATCAATATTTTGATGTTGTACAATGAATTCATATGATATTCCGAAAAGCTAATGTTCAAAAAACCCTAATTTTCTCATGTTAAATTAAAATCAACGCTTATTGATTTACATTCTCTAAAACATTTCTGTCTGAAATACTAACTGTATCCTATATCTTCGTCATCATACCGTTTGATGGGATAATAAACCCTCTTTTTTCATGAATTCCAAACGTTTTAAGCGTTACATCGAAATGTTTTCGAAATCACTCATTGGACAATCTATCATTGAAATTCATTTTCAATATTTCAATCATGACTTAAAAGTTACTATCTTGAATGTGATTGATTCGATATTATAGTGTAATTTAACTAAAGAAAAGCCAGTTCAATCCTGTTGGTTTTAATTAATAGTATATACATCCATTTGAAAATAGTTAACCTTTTTCTATGTGTAAATACTGACTTTTAATTTTGACGAATGATCTTTATCTTAATATCATTGAAATTTTTTAAAATTTTGAAGCTTAGCAACATCAACATTTTTCAAACGTTATCCGAAATTTGAACACTACTTGGTTGAAACACTTACATCGTACTCAAAGAATACAAAGTATGAATATTTATAAGAATAACGATTATTCTTTTGTCTACTTTTTGAATCATTATACATGTGTTTATAGGTCCCAAATGCCTTGGTACAGTCGAGAGTGGGGAAGGTCATCTCTCCCTCTCGAAATACTATCACATGGCCACGTGTATACAACCACTGCCAGGGAAGTCCTACTCACTGTCTTCTCGTGGCGGGCTTATTGTTTACGAAACTGAGAGGACGAAAAGCGAATGTCCGGCACTTTGACTGGGTCGGTGAATACGGAGAATCCACCTAGGGGAGTTGGAAAACCCTGACTCCACACCAGTGTTGCACATGGGCTCCAGAATCCTGAGGGAAAAATGGCGTATGAACCACTCGTTGGTGACCGGCTACCATGGGACTGCATCCCCTTACGTTGTTCCACTGCCTTGTGGATCAGACCTTTAGGTCGAAGGTTCGGGATGTGGCCGCCTAAGGAAATTACATGATTTGTTTTGGGCACCCGGGCAGTATCATAGCTCACACACAAATTGAATGATTTATGTGGCCCATATTTATTTGATATCTTCTTGTGCCAATGTGTCGGTGTTCAAATATATAAATAAAGGCTTCCATTGTATATTGGTTGTTTAATTTTGTAAATTTCTACACTAAAACCTCCATTGTTCAATCCTGATTGGTTTAGTATTGTGTCAATTTCACTATGCGATAATATCTGTTGTGGTATCAATATGTATATAAACAAGCCAACTAAATTTTGACTATCAAACTCCCAACTCAAATCTTTATTCAACATATTTCAGTTTGAGCATGCAGTTAATCATGTATGAATGCGTGACACTTAAAGTTGTGTCAAATATATTAAATAATTCGGTCATCGAATTCCGTTAATCTATTTATTGTTTACATCAAACCAAACAGTGAATATAACTAGTTCTACTATAGTCTATTTTAAATTATTTCACCTCCAATATCCAACTAACTATCATCTTGAAGTGTTTTCGGGATTCAGTCTGAGAGATATATCTAGCATTCGCTAAACTTTCTTAATTCATTTGACACGGTGCCTAAAAATCTAGAAATCAAAATGATTTATAATCACTGAAGTTGGAAAGATGAATAGTCTTAACATCCTATTCGATCCTTTGTAGTGTATATGCACTGTTGAGTATTTCCATTCTATGGTAAAGCACATATTAGCACAACTTGCTTACACCCGTCATACCTCGCGGATCATAGGCCGCCCACCAGCACTCTCCATCCAACTCTGTCCTGGACAATCCTTTCCACTCGCTTCCAGTTACTATTCGTCCTTTTCATATCCACTTCGAACTCCCGGCGCCGTGTGTTCTTCAGCCTTCCTCTTTTCCGTTTCTCTTCAGGATTCCAAGTTACTAGGGCTTGCCTCGTGATGCAGTTTGGTGATTTCCGTAATGTATGTCCCATTCACTTTCAACGTCTCTTCCTAATTTCCTCTTCAGCTGGAAGCTGGAATGTTTCCTCCCATAGTAGGCTGTTGCTGATGGTATCTGGTCAACAGAAATTAAGAGTCTTGTGTAAACAACCCTTTACAAATACTTGTACCTTTTTGATGATGGTTGCAGTAGTTGTCCAAGTTTCAGCCCCGTAAAGTAGGACTGTCTTGATGTTCGTATTGAAGATTCTGAGTTTGATGTCGGCTGAGAGTTGTTTTGAGTTCCATATATTCTTCAATTGTAGGAATACTGTCCTTGCTTTGCCAATCTTCACCTTTAAGTCTGCATCGAATCTTCCTTGTTCATCGATGATGCTGACCAAGTATGTAAACGTTTCCACCTGTTCCAAAGCTTCTACATAAAGTGTGATTGAGTTGGTGTTCTCTGTGTTGTATTATATCTTCACCCTCCGCCAAATGTTAGAACACCGCCATACTTATCAAAGGCCAACAATCGTAGTGTTTCTTGACATCAGAGCTGCCTTCGATTCGTTGTACAGGACTGTTCTCTGGGATTGTCTATTGAAGAAGGGTGTGCCTGAGAAGTTTATTAACATCTTAAAAGCCCTATATACGAATACCTCAGGCAGAGTGAGGGCATACAACCACCTTTCTCCATTGTTCTATTCGAGCAGTGGGGCTAGACAGGGTTGTTCATTCCCTCCATTCCTCTTCAACTTTGCCATCGATGACATTCTGGAAACAGCTCTGATGGATGTAAGTAATGGCGGTATGGATCTGTTGCCTGGAGAAAGACTTCTCGACCTTGAGTATGCGGATGATATTGTCTTACTGTGCGATAATGCCCAAGGCATGCAATCCGCACTTAATCAGTTGGCAATCAGTGTCCGTAGGTATGGTATGTGCTTTGCCACCTTCGAAGTGCAAAGTACTTCTACAAGACTGGCAGGATTCCAATCCTGTACTCACCCTGGATGGTGAGCAGATAGACGTAGTCGAGAAGTTCGTGTATCTGGGTAGCTGCATAAGTGCTGGTGGTGGTGTGAGTGATGAGATCAATGCACGTATAGTGAAAGCCAGAGCGTCTTATGCCAATCTGGGCCATCTTTGGCGCCTTCGTGATGTTAGTCTGGCTGTAAAAGGTCGGATCTACAACGCGTCGGTGAGATCAGTTTTGCTCTATGCTTGTGAAACCTGGCCTCTCCGAGTTGAGGGTGTTAGACGACTCCTTGTGTTTGATCATCGTTGTCTCCGAAGGATTGCTGACATCCAGTGGCAACACCACGTTAGCAATGCAAAGGTTCGGTATGGCTTGGACATGTTCTACGAATGTCGTCCAAGAGAATTCCACATCGTACATTATTTGCCGACGCTGGGACTGGTTGGAAAAAGTGAAGAGGTGGTCAGTGTATGACATGGTGTCGTGGTATGAAAGAAAGCTGCAAAGAGCTGGCTTGTGTTGGTCCTTCACGACTCTCTGGCTGGGGTCCGAGAAACGGTGTGACCTATTGGCTAAAGACGTTATGAGATATGGCTCGGAATATAAGCCAGTGGCGATCCTGCCGTAACCTTCTTTTACTTTCTTCATAAAAGTGGTTGTTTCTTCTTTAACTGAAAGATTTCTTCTGATTGTACCTTTGTGTTCCCTCATAATGACTATGATTATTACTACATTCCCTTACTCCAATCTCTTCATTATTGTTTTTTTTACGTTCCTCATTGTTTTTTTTTCTTCTTAAATTTTCATTGTTTTATGTGGCGCATACATATTTGGCGCACTCCTGTACCAATATATATATATATATATATATATATATATATATATATATATATATGTGTTCAAATAAATAAATGAATAAATTTGAGGGTCCTGCATCTTCCCTTGTGTATGTTGAGACCTACTGATGCTACACTGGCTGTCTTAATCTGAGTTTGTTGCTTTGTATGGAATAGAAGGGCTAGGTCATCTGCGAAGTATAAATCGTCTAGTTGCATCCACACTGTCTATTGTATTCCGTGTTTTCCCTCAGATGTGGAGGTCTTTATAATCCAGTCAACCACCAGAAGAAAGATAAAGGGCGAGAGTGAGCAGCCTTGTTTTTCACCGCTCCTCACTTGAAATGCATCTGTCAGCTGTCCTCCATGCGCACCTTTTCAGTGTAGTTCGTCGTATCAATTCCGTATGATGTTGACGATTTTCTCAGGTACACCTTAGTGTCGAAGATGGTCCCATAACGTTCTTCTATTGACACTCTCAAATGCTTTTTCATGGTCAAGGAAGTTTATGTATAGTAAGCACACAACTTATCATTGATTTTCCATGTGTGCTGGAATACTAACCTTGTGCCCAAACTGTAGCAGGAGTTTTTCTCCCTGAGCGGGAGACTCTAAGGTTTAGTCTAATCCACAAAGCAGTGGCAGGTGGGCGACGTTTGGAGATGCAGTCTGATAGTAGATAGTGACGAAGAATAGATTCATACATAACTTATTCTCTCGGGACCCTGAAGGTAAAGTGCGCGATCGGTTCGGAATCAGGGTTGCTCAACTGTCCTAGGTAGTTTCTCCGTATCTACGAACGTGGTTTAAGCTCTTATTATTGGCTTTTCGTCCTCTCGATTTTTAAACGAAACTCCTGCAAGATGGTGAATAGGACTTCCTTGATGGTGGTCCATATGTGCGTGGTCATACGCGAGCATTTCTAGAGGGAGAGGAGACTCTCCCCACCCTCACCTGCACTCAGGAATTTAGACGCACATTTGTATTGCGCCAGCAGAAGTATCTTTCGATGTTGAATATTTATTACTGATGAAATGTATTTTATACGTAGTCGTATAATTTGTTCGCTCTCTATGAGCCTGCAGCACAATTTAACATTGACTGTATTTTAGTCATAGAAATGATAACTAACCAACCAATCTTCTTTTCAGAATTCAATGATTTATAATTATTAGTAGTAATTGTGTGTTAACTGATGTTTGTTTTAGGTGACATTGGTTGCTGCTCAGAGATCATTGAGTTTAAGTACCTTAGTCTCCTTCCTACTAATGGAGGTTAGTCGTTGCGTGAATATCTCTCTGTGAGATATTAACTTTATCAGTCCGTAACGAAAACTACCAATACAACTACACTAATCTATGTACAATTTCTGAACCTGAATATATTTTTCATGTAATTTAATCATTAATTAAAGTGCGAATGTTCAATATATATAAATTAATTATAACATAAAACACAAGGTATGCTAGATATGCTTAGTGCACATCACTCGTTAATTCTACACTTAATGTTTTGCCAAATGTTATTCATCATTTAAGAGTACTTCTTTTCCTTCTTGTAACTATTTGACCATTGCATGTGATTGATGCTCCTCCAACCGTAAGATTTCTCCTTTAATGTCTGTTGAAGTCTATGTTTATCTTTTTTTTAAATAAATTTCACAGCATTCCACATTCAAGTTCTTTCAAATTGTACAGTTTACTTCATTTGATGACACACCTACTACCATCCCTACAAGTTACTGGGATTGATAAGACGTTATATAAACTACTTATTAGGTAAGTAATATATATATATATATATATATATATATATATATATATATATATATATATATATATATATAACATATCAAGCATAACTTGCATTGATTAAAATACAATAACAATTAATGCATACATCTGCGAAGTAATCGTACATTAATGAAATTCGTACAGTTTGTCCTTTCTTGTTTTCAGAATCTTGATGATTACAAACTCATGAATCCATATTTGATCGAGCCTCATTTCTTATGGATACCATGAAACCTCTAATTTTCTGTGGTACTTTAGTCGCTCCGTATATATTGCGTTGATCTTTAATCGTCTAAACTGACTCGACTCTTACCATTTTACAAGTCTCAATTTTTTCGTTGTGTCTGCTGAACATTTGATTTGATTATTGTGTTGATATTGCTTGTAGTCAGTTAGAAGTAACGATGGCCTAGTGTTGATGTTTAAATTGAAATTCCAACCGTGTATGTAGCTTGTCTGATCACGTTCTGACATTGAAGGCGTTAGGTACTGGAATGCGATGCTAACCAAAATCTTAAGAACTCTTAGCAACGTCTGGCAATAAATGGAAATAAAGTACTTTGTTAAATTAGCCCCAACTAGTAACATGAAGTTATTTTCGTCAGTTCGTCAATGATTAAAGCATCTAGTCATCTGAAAATTTACCGAATTTATGTTTTCAGTATGACTTAAATTATACGGATTACATTCTGTGAATAATTATGTCAACTAAACAGTACAATTGATAGATATTGCAAAACCATTGCATTAATGGGTTTTTAAGTCGGTGCAGTGTGATTATCTTGTTCACTTCGAAGGCACATAGTTTCCGAAGACATATATTATCCAACCGTTGAACTACATATTTCAAATTATTAATTAACATTGGATTCAAACTGACTAGCCTAAAGTAGCCATTGTCATCACAAAACTGATACTTCCTAAGTGAGGTAGCGAGTATACATACTACTAATACATCTCACTATAACAAAATAATTGTCCATTGTATTCTGACCTATTTTAACGAAATATATGTATATACTACTTTTTCAGGTGTGGTTTCAGTGATGACATACGTATACGTAAAGTTGCTTCATTAGCTTTAACCTCAATTATACATCCATGTGTTATCATGACTACATTAAACCATTTATTCGATTTAATGGAACTATTTCATGAATCAATACCAGTTAAAAGATGGTGCAATATTCGATTGAATATATTACATGGTCTACTTTTACAGGTAGTTCACATCTGTTTCTATCATTTTATGTAAGATTTAATACTCATACAAATAAATTTTCTGAGTTCTTGATGTGGCTAAAGTTAGAAGTAAACTATTGCACCGCCGGATTTGAGATAATTATCCACCACAGGCGATGGAAGATGAAAGTGCAGTATTTCAAATTGAAGTTACAGATGTATACAATGAGATGCCGGCTCAAGTGGTTTAGGGTTAGGCGCTCGTTGCGTTGGGTTTGATCACTAAATGGTATCCCAAAGACTCGCTGCTGAGGAATCACATATAAGATGACAACAACTATCCTGTGCTTTCTGGCTTCCAATGTTTGTCCCACTGAGATCAGAATGAGTCTGAATTGTGGGTTTTTAACTTAGATATTATTGGTTAATCCATCTTTATGGCTACGGACCAACATTTCGCGTTAGCAAACGTATGCATGTCTAATTGAGTTCGAGATTTGTATGTAACACAAATATTCAGACATAATCTACACACTGAGAGTGAGGGTTGCATAAAAGAGTTAATTAGCTATTTTTGTGTACAATTCATAAATATGCACATGTGCATCCATCAGTTATATAGGATGATAATGACCTGATGTAACAGAACCATATTTTTCTATCCAATCACAATTTAGTTAGTCTGATTACGTAATTGGTTGTTGTCTTATACTGTTAGTAAAGATTCTCGTACAGTTGGTATTGGGCAACTATGTTTATATGTGAGACATTTAGTAGTGTAATGACACAATTTAACTGTTCAAACTGAAGTAGCTGTCGTGCAGTTCCTACGTAATCAAATATCTAAGCCTATTAATGCAGACAAATACAAACCTTCATTGTAATGATACTTTTGACAAACTGTTAGAATAACCTAGTTCACTTTTAGTCCAGTTTTACTCAGTCAGAAAATAGATCATATGGATGAAGAACATATGACAGACAAGGGGAAACGTAGAAAGTGTTTACACTTTTGACTTAATCAGTAAATCTTCCTATAGGTTCCTCTGATTATAAGTTCAAGCATGTTTGATAGTGATAAACTCACCTATATGTCTAACTTCAAAGTTCTGTGGTAATATGACTATGAAGCTTTTATTATTTCAGACGACATAAATAGATGTTATGTCCCGATAAGCACAATCGATGGTAACTATGCGTACATTTTTATCGTATAATTTTTAAATAACTAAACTATTCATGTCTCTCTTATCATAAGCTTTATTTTAACCTATGAACTGTTATTATACGATTTTCCATTCTTGAATCATTCTGTCTATTAATCAATACCTCCCACATTCACAGCCACATTTGACCAAATCTTGTACAGATGTTATTTTCTATTTTATGGTACGATGTGGTCTGCTTGATTGGTGTATAAACAGAGTATGTTTGAAATACATGGTTCATATTGCAGAGGCTGAGACTGGTGTTCTGAACTTAACTGGCTGGGCTAGGCGGAAAGCAGGACCAATAGGGACTCTGAACTGCTCGCACGTGTTTTATGCGTCGTTGGTCCGATCGATAATTCACTGCTCTCTAATCGGCGGCGTCTTTACGTATACACTAGCAGGGCACTCAGGCCACAAGTCATAACAATTGGCGACGGAGTTGGCGCATACATGAATTTTTCAAAAGTAGAATTATTGCTCAAGCAGCAGCTAAAACTAATGCAGATGTTAGCAGATGCAAAGCCTACGCCGAACACACAACCAAGCACTTCTACTACTACTGCATTGTTAGTTAATTGTATTGCGAATAGTACTTCAGAGTTTCATTCTGATCCTTATTTCAATGTCACATTTGATATGTGTTTTCGACGTTATGAAGACTTATTCAAATTTGACTTCGCTAATCGGGATGATGCTTGAAAAGTCTGCTTGCTGCTTCGAAAACTGGGTCCTGGTGAATTAAATAGATATTGCAACTTAATTTTGCCTCTAAACCCACCTAACCATCCAGTCATTGAGTCAACAGTTTGGAGATAACTCCTCACTATTCAACGCACGTTATGGATTTGTGTAGCTGACTATGAACGAAGACGCTGATTTTCTCACGTATATGAGTACCGTCAACCGCGAATGCGAACACTTCGGTTAGTGTCGCTGACTGAAGATCAATTCAAAGCCCTTATTCTAATCTGCAGTCTCCAATCGCAGAGGTTTAGTGACATTAGAATATGGCTGCTTAGTCGATTATACCAATACCCCAAATTGACACTCACTGATATTGCAAATGAATATCAACGTCTAATGAATCTACAGCGTGGTGGTTAAGGTGGTACCGAAGTTCATGTAGTTTAAAAACCACACAACCCGCATAAATCTGCCCCAGCTACAACTATTTCAAGTCAACAGACAAAAACAAATCCTCCTGCCCCATGCTGGCACTGCAGTGCATAACACTATGTACGAAACTGTCCATTTAGGCAACATCGATGCGGGAAGTGTAAGGTTGTCGGTCATAAAGACCGGTTTTGTCTTAAGAGGAAGTCAAACCGATCCAGAAGTACCAAAAAGACTGTTCCTAAATCCTGTACTACTTCGTTGAGCCTGATGTCTTTTTGTCAAAGCTCATCCCCAGGTCAGAGGAAATTCGTTACCCTTAGTATTAATGGGCATTTGTTTAGATTGCAAATAGACACTGCGTCTGACGTGACAATTCTCTCACGAAAACCTTGGATCAGAATGGGCAAACCACGCACCGTGCCAACAACACAAAAACCTCTTACTGCATGTGGTTATCACCTACGTTTGTTTGGGACAACTAGATTGTAAAGTTTCACTTCACAATTCGACGTTTGCTGGGGTATGTTATACAACGCCAGCTGATCTAAATTTACTTGGTTTAGATTGGTTCGACCAGCTAAAATTAGCTGATGTCTCGTTAAATACCATATGCCACCTAGTATCACAACCACATGACCCTGAAGCATATACGAGAAAGCTAGTGACGCAGTTTCCATCTATTTTCCAACCTGGATTGGGTCGATGTTCTGCCGCGAAAGCAACGCTTCGATTAAAACCTGGGGCTAAGCCTGTTTTCTGCCCCAAAGACCCGTGCCTTACGCAACATTACCAACAGTAGATGAAGAATTGAATCGTCTTCAACAACAAGGAGTTATTACACCCGTTTCTTACTCTGCTTGGGCAGCACCTATAGTTGTTATCAAGAAGGTCAACAGCATGATACGTACATGTGCTGACTTTTCTACAGGTCTCAATGCAGCTCTGGAACAGCATCATTATCCTTTGCCAGTTCCCGTAGATCTGTTTACTATGCTGAATGGGGGAAAGTTTTTCACAAAACTGGATCTAGCTGATGCTTACTTGCAAGTGGAAGTAGACGAAGCATCAAGAGAGCTGCTTACTATCAACACTCATCGTCAGTTGTTGCAGTATATCCGTCTGTCTTTTGGAGTCAAGACTGCCCCATCTATCTTCCAGCAACTGATGGATACCATCCTATCAGGTATCTCGGGGATCGCGGTTTATCTCGATGACATTTTAATTGTTGCGACGACATTAAAACAGCTACAGGAACGCACGACACTGGTACTGCAACGTATCAGTGACAACGGGTTCCGCTTAAGCCCAGAGAAATGCCAGTTTTTATTGCAGTCAGTCAAGTATCTGGGGTTCATTTTTGAGGTCGACGGCTGCAAGCCGGATCCTGAGAACATTCGAGCTACCAAACTGATGCCCATCCCCACTAATGTCTCGGCACTACGTTCCTTCATGTGACTTGTTACCTATTATTCAACGTTCGTTCCTTCGATGCATGAAATTCGCGCTCCATTGAATCGTCTGCTGAAGAAGGACAGCACTTGGAACTGAACTAACGAGTGTGATGCGGCGTTTTGTAAACTCAAGTCGATAATTAGCTCGGAATTGTTGTTAACGCACTACCATCCATCTATGCCAATCATCGTAGCTGCAGACGCTTCAGCTTATGGCCTAGGTGCTGTTATTTCACATTAGTTTCCAGACGCATCAGAAAAAGCTGTTATGCATACATCCCGTACACTAACCCCGGTAGAAAAGAAATACAGTCAGATAGGAAAAGAGGCCCTTGCACTTGTGTTTGCTGTCCGACGTTTCCACAAGTTTCTGTACGGTAGGAGATTTACGCTTCTGACAGATCACAAGCCTCTGCTCGCAATATTCGGGTCGAAATCTGACATTCTGCAAATCGTCTTCAACGATGGGCCTTGGTACTCTTGGGGTATGATTTCGAGATCCAATACCGATACACTCAACAATTCGGTCAGGAAGATGGTTTGTTACAACTCATTAATGATCAATTGGCGGCTGAGGAAAACATGGTAATCGCATCTCTGTCAGCGGAAGACCACGCGGAATGTTATCTGACAACCGCAGTACGGGCATTGCCGGTGTCTGCAACAGACATACGAAACGCTTCCAGGAACGACCACATCACCAAGATGGCGATGAGCTATGTCACCAACGGTTGGCCGTCTAAGAAGTTTGATGGTGAAATGAAACAGCTGTATCAGCGGCGGGATTCACTATGCATTGTAAATGACTGCTCGATGTTTGGAGAAAGAGTGGTTGTGCCGGAGCCCCTTCGAGCAAAAGTGCTGAAACAGTTCCACCTTGTTAATTCGGGGGTTAGACGAATGAAATCCATAGCCAGGAGTTATGCATACTAGCGCCCAGTGGACCAACCTATCACTGAGTTGGTTGGAAAATGCATTCGGTGCTAGCAAACAGCAAAGGTGAATGCCAAAGTCCCGCCAATTCCATGGCCACAACCTGATCATCTTTGGTTCAGGATACACGTCGACTTCGCGAGCCCAATTAATGGGACTATGTATTTATTTGTGGTCGATGCGTTTTCAAAATGGTCAGAAATCAGTCTTGTGATGCCGCCCACGATAACTAAAACAATACAGCTCCTCACTGAAATCTTCTCCCGAAATGGCATACCAGATGTGATTGTATTCAGCACTTACGTTCGCCACCATACCACCCGCAGTCGAATGGGCAAGCGGACAAGTTTGTGGATACGTTTAAAAGAGCATTGGTTAAGTCAAAAATGAAGGAGATACCTGACGACGCGTTACAAAATTTCTTGTTCGTTTTGTGGACAACACTAAATGAGACGGTACCGGGGCGAAATTCCCCAGCATAAATCCTGATATGAAGAATTCTGAAAACGATCTACAGCCTAATGCATCAACACCAGTACAGTCGAAGTCTGAGAAACAGTCCACGTACAGAGTGGGATGTCCTGTGTTTGCTCGTGACTACAGAGCAACCCATGGTCAATGTACAGAAGCGCGAGTTGTCAGAAAGCTAGACCGTGCCATGGACGAAGTAGAGGTAGGAGGCGATAGATGGTCATGCCATCGAAATCAGATACGCAAACAGCTAGCCCCAGACCGCCCATCAACAGGAGTAAATATTCCCCTTGACATTCGTCTTGATACCTCCAACCTACCGGCAGCCCCATCACAAGAAAAAGATCAACGACAAGCTGATCTCCGTTCCAGAAGGTAGCTTCTCCAACAGCGGCGAACTACAGTCAAGATGCAAGTCGACCTCAGGAAAGTACGATATTATAAAGAGGAGGTGTGTTGGGACGTTAGATCCCTAGAACTCGTAATTGCTTCAAACATAGTTGAAATATCCATTGATTTCAGGTTGATCTGAGCTCCAAACATCTGAAAAACTTGTTATTCTTTTACTGCCTCTTTCTAAGATAAAAATGTTCTCATAATGAAACGTGTGTTCACAATTGTCTTCATATATTGATATAAGTAAGTAGTTGTCATGGCTTTCGACAGGAAGTTAATGTTGATGTTGACTATTAAAAAATGTCTCTTGTTCTTTTTTAGTATTCGGGTAGATGAACGAGCTGTATTCATTTGAACGAGTTCATTAGCTGTTGGTTTTTTCGGCCTACAGGGAGAACAACCTGTAAAAAAAATATTAGTATTTTTATTACTCATGTAAAATGTTTTCTTTTCCATAAACTATCCATTTATCAAAGTTACTTTCTGACTGATTAGAAACTAGATGAAAACTTATCACGGTTGTTTTATGCCAGTTCCTGAAGTATGATTTTACCATGACGATAGGAAGTAATCTTACATTAAAATTGTAATCTATTTTAACTCTTATATACCACTGAATATCAGTTATTGAGTCATTCAGAATGTGATTATTTAGTTGAGAGTACCGGACGACTGTTTCGCCCTAGTATGGGACTCCTCAGGAGTGTGCATCGGCGATCCCGCCTCGCGATATTTCAACCCAGAACCTATCAGTCTCGCGAGAGAACGCTTAACCTCTAGATCACCGTGATCCAACGGTGTTAATTTCTAACTTCAATCAATCCACGAAATTGAGCTACCATCCCCCATTGTCTCACAACAGACCCAGTTGAACTCCACTAGTGAGTGCTTCTCACTAGAACTCCAGGGAATGCCTCTTAAAGCCACTCACTAGTAAGCATACGATGCCTATTATCAGATTGATAACCATTAAATGAACATATTTATTTAATTATGAGAAGTTAATTATTGAATTATACCTTTTAGATATATGCATTGATATATTCTAATATGGATATTCATGATAGTACACCATCAGTTTACACTGTTTCAACTATATCGTATCTTTCAAAATCGAATTATTTAACAATTATAAATCGTTTAAAGTCATCATTCTCTTGGTTAAATGATTCAGCATATGTTACATGTACAATTATTAAACAATTATATATGAAAATATTAAATTGTCATTATAATCAACCTATACAGATTGAAACTAATGTATATGGTCTTGAATATGATTGTTTGATAACACATATTTATGTTCTGATTGATTGTACATTGAACAATTCAGAAAATTCTGCTCTTTCTCCTACTACATTTTATTTAGATTTAATAAAATGGACTAAATCTATGAATTCAATGAATGTAAGTATTTTGATTAAAATATTCCATGCATATGCATGTTGAATTTGATGAAGAGAAAAAAACCTTATTGTTGAATAATTAATTGATTAAATTACAAATGATTAACTCTACAATTGGTTTTTATTTAGTAAATTTCGCTAGTTTTAAAGTTTGTATCCCTGTGCTTACGGAAAATCAAAATTTATTCATGATATAAATTGTTCTCTAAACAATCCTATATTTGTTTCAATGTATTTAACGTGTAAAACTGTTAATGTGTTGATAAAATATCAAAAGTTTATGTAGATACATATGTCGTAGTACGGCTGAGAGTGGGGAGAGTCACCCCTCTTTTTCGAAATGCTTTCAAATGGCCACGTGCATACAACCACTGCCTTCTCGTGGCGGGCGTATTGTTTACGAAACTGAGAGGATGAAAAGCGAATGTCCAGCACTTTGACTGGGTCGGTGGATACGGCGAATCCACCTAGGGGAGTTGGAAAACCCTGACTCCACACCAGTGTTGCACATGGGCTCCAGAATCCTGAGGGAAAATGGCGTATGAACCACTCGTTCGTGACCGGCTACCATGGGACTGCATCCCCTTACGTTGTTCCACTGCCTTGTGGATCAGACCTTTAGGTCGAAGGTTCGGGATGTGGCCGCCTAAAGAAACCACCCAATTGGTTTCGGACACCAACTCGAATCGGATTACCAACAGTCATTGATATTGTGAACTGATACAACTAGTTGTTAGTTTCAATATCACTGATATCGTTTATTTTGTAGCGTATTGATCCAATCTCTATCTTAGTAATTTGTAGATTAACTTTCCGTTTGTTGTTGTTCTACTGTAAATATTTCAAATTGAACATTTTCTTTCGTACTCATTATCGCTGTTATTTTTGTTGCTTGTGTGTGTGTGGAACTAATGTTACAGCTTCTTGCAGTTGCACTTCGTCGAATTTGTTCATATTTACACTCAACACTTGCTCATCCCACATTGAATGATAACAATTTCGATATAGAAGATATTAATGAAATTATTGATGCCAGTGAACACTTGAATTCGTCAATATTCAATAAATTAAAAACATTGTTTCCATTTCAAACTTTATTTCAAAATTTTATTCGTCTATATTTTCGGTTAGATGAAAATATTCCACATAATAATAATCATAAAGATGACGAAGTGTATCGATATGCATTTGCTTTATTAACTATAGAATTGCAACAACATCAAAGTAATCATGATTCCACGGATATCTCAAAGAAATTAATTCTGGCAGCTTTTCGTTGGAGTTGTAAACAAATGAAATTTCTATTTAAAAAAATGAAATGCTTAAATTCACCACCAATCTACTTAGCAGCATTTATACGTTTTCATACTAAATTGATCACAGTTATATATAATAAGGAGAGTGACGTTCCATTAATTATGTTTCAATTCTGTAATTTGGGCAATGTTTGTTTCAGTATATTGCAACACTCACATACTACTACTACTACTACACATGTTTGTTTAGAAGTAAAATATGCTGTTTTGCATTCGATTTTTGTATTAAGAATTTTTGTTAATTGGTTATCATTTTCGTCGGAGGAAGACATAAAGAAAGGTGAGTTATTCTTAAATACTAACGAATTGTTTATGTTATATGCATGTTCAAATTGATAGTACATTTCATATTAATGTAGCAGATGGTATTTATGAGAAGAAATCAAAGATCATCCAATCGAAATATTTTTTATTGTTCATATTTCATGTATTCAACCATCAACCATTAGATCACAGATACAATGCAGAATGTCATATGTTCAGGTTGACAGACAACTATGGGTGGTTAAACAAAAAAACATTATCAGTTCATGAATTCACTGACTGCTGGATTGCATCGTATCGGGAGACAGAGTTTACTAGTTAGATACCACAGAATAATTGTATTCTTTAATTGAACAAGTTAACTTAAGTAATCAAAAGTCGTTTGTAATAGTGCATTTGTTCATATTCATTATTTATACTTATTGCTCACAAACTATACATCTGTTAAGAAGCAAAAAATGCCCAGATACGTCCGAGAGTGAAGACAGTCCCCTTGTAATGGCATTAAACCTCCAAAGATAACTACAAATCATAGCATAACGCATGAAAGTCCACCCTGAATTCATTGTTTTAAGTATGAGGTTAATAATACTTTGATGTCTACAGCTGTCCACGTCTTAACTGTATAATACCATAATTAATAATTCATATTAAATTGTCAACAACAACTACCCACATATAACCGCCAAATGCCCTGGTACTGTCGAGAATGGTGAGAATCCCGTCTCCCTTTCGAAATGCTCGCATATGGCCATGAAAAGCGAATGTCCAGCATCTAATTTGGATTGGTGGGTACAAAGGATCCAGGACAGTCGGGAATTTATTATTAATTTCAACACATAAATATCGGTACAAGAGGGCACCAAATATATATGCGCCACACAAAACAATAAGAATTCGAAAAAAATAACGTAAGGAGCGTAAAAAACGAACACTAACAAACAGATTAGTGTGAGGTAGTGTAATAATAATAATAATAATAATAATAATAATAATAATAATAATAATAATAATAATAATCGAGGAGACTAAGAGGTACAACCAGAAGAAATCTTTTATTTAAGAAAGATACAACTACATTTTATGAAGAAAGTAAGAGAAGGTTACAGCAGGATCGCCACTGGCTTCTATCCTGAGCCATATCTCATAACGTCTCTAGCCACCGTGTCGCACTATCTCTCAGACCCCAGCCATGGTCATGAAGTTGCAACCAATGCTCATCTATACTTTTCGGTGGAAGGGTGGCTAGCCAAGAAACTAGCTCGGTTCGATACTTACTTGCAACAGAAGTTGCAACCAAATTGCTGACATCAATCCTTTGGTGGCGGTCACTTCGTTGGCTACTGAAAAGTAAGGTAAGATTGGCGCAAACCAGGCCATGATCAAAGTCCAGATAGGTGCTACAAAAGAAGTGGCAATCTTGTACACAACCACGTCACCGGTAGCTGATCGCGATATTTATGATCAAAAAAACATTACATGAACTAACCCATCGAATGAACGATTTCTTGTGTTGCAAATACATTGATAATAGAAACTGGTCATTAACCTTGAAATACTAATTAGCGAAACAAAGAGACCATATAGTTTTAAGTTTCAGTTTTGTCTTGATAACAAGTCTTAATCTGACACTCGACTTGCCGACTATCTAGTATTTGCACCTCGTGATATCCTTTCACCGGATGTCACGATAATCGGTTTCTAATCCTTTTATGATGGACAATCTAGGTAATGAATTGTGTGGAAATAAATATTAAGCATTAGCGAAATGATAGCCACATTTTGATGTGAATCTAGAATCTTACCGATTGCAATCAACGATTTCCTATAAGTTTCTCAAAAGTTTATGATAATGCTTCCTCAAAATTATTTGCTTGAAAGCTATTTCAGTGACGTATTTGGAAGTGTATGAAGTGCATAAATACATGGAAGAAGAATAACTTTGTCGAATAAAGTGCAGATACAAAATATATCACGTAGGCTTGAATTTTTCAAACATGACAGTTTCTTATTAGGATATTCCACAGTTGACAACATTTAACTGTAATGTAAGCTTTTTTTTAAATTGTGAACATAACAGTGTTCATTTCTACTTTATACCATGTTGAATTTTAAGCATTTTGCAAATTACTTTTATCGGTTTAAATGAATTGTATTATAACGCTGAGGTTCACTATGATTTAATACTCTGAAAGGAATAAGTTTACTGGTATCAGTAAACCGGGATGTTTGCTAACAATACTGAAGAATTCACGTCTAAACATCCAATGACCAGTAATATGCATTAACATCTTAAGTAAATATTCACTATAACTTCCACAATTTGTCATTAATTCTTCATCTGTTGTTTTACGCGGATACGCATCATTATCGCAAAAGTAAAATCGATTTATGTAATAGTAGTATTCAAGTGTGACAATTATTTGGTCAGAACAGAAGTCTGAAGTCTCCTGTTAAATAACAGACGTCATATCACTTTCTGATGCTACATTGTCCACTGTTCATGATCTGTAAAACCACTCACCATCAAGCACATATTCAGAATTATCATCCAGTTCATAATTACATATTTTTAGGTGATATATCATTGTTACGAGAAGTATTCGACTTATATTTTAATGCTTATTGATGTACAACACATTCGACTAAAAATCCAGATGATACGGCAATGAAGGCGGAATTTGCAATTAGTATTTTAAATTCTCTCGTAAAGCTTTCACTGAGAGTTCTACATATATAACATGCAATATCTATACCACCGAATAGGGCAGCATTTCATCAATAAATTTCTAATTATTATCTAATAACATCAGGGATTCTGTTCGAAATCATAATAATTTCATTTAATAAACTTTCCATATTCATTTTAATGAAATTAACTGGCTAAAAGAAATCGTACATAAAAATAATGGAAATTTGTACATAAACACATATTTTAAGAAGATTCGCGAAGGCTATGAAAACCACTGAGTTGATTATTAATGTACTGTTACTAAGATATCTGTCGAACGCAATTTCCGGAGATGAACAGTTAATTAGCGGTAGAATTCACCCTTGGTTGCGTCCGGGCAGCAATCTTTCGGAGCATAGGCGGAGATGACGAGAAGACATCGTTTCTCACGCAGATTTCTTCTCACTTTGATGGAACTTTCTATTCTAACAGCACATAACCGACTGTTAATGGGGATCCAATCGATTAGAGCTGCCTCAGCTCTAGCGCTTAGTGCGACACCAACGCCAGCAAGACCAGACGAAAATGCCATAGGGTCCCCGGATGAACGCACGTAAAACAAGCCTTTTGAAGCGACATATGGAGAGCGAATTTGTAGTACTTCACCAGAGTCTTGAATACGGGTCTCGGATAGACAACAAACATCAATATTAAGACTTTCCAAAGACATAGCCAGCCCTATCTGTTGTCCGACCTGCATAAGTGTGCGAACGTTGAAGGCAGCCAGTTTGAATGGTGCACGTGGTTTCAGAAAAACTGCTTCAGTTCTCGTATTTGGTGGTAACATACAATTTTCAACCGGACAGTGACTCGAGAACCTTTAGATAGAACCGAGTTTCCACCATAGGCGAACTGCTGCATAAGTCGAAAAATAAGTATGCACAGAGTGGGAATAAAAGAGAGTGAATAAATGACGTAGTAAATATTAATAATGCGAATCGTTTGATTGTTAATCGAAGCAAGACAAGCATTTTCCATAAATATCGACATTTCATCATATTTGTGTGTGGGCTGTGATACTGCCCAGGTGCCCAAACCGAAGCAGATGGTTTTCTTAGGGGGCAACACCCTGAGCCTTTGACCTAAAGGTCTGATCCAACAAGGCAGTGGATCTCAAAGTTGGACGTCTGTTGAATTTTTTATCCAGTTCAACAATACTCAGTTGAAAACTTTTCCTGGTACCGATAGTAGTGTGATGACTATATAGTTCTCATATTTGCTGAGATCTCTTTTCTTTAGTATTGTGATGAGGCATCCATCTTTTTAGTCTACTTGTATTTGTTCTTCATCCCAGATGTTTTTGAAGCAAATATGGAATATCTTCGGAGTCACTTCTATATGTGAACACAGTGCTTCAGTTGGTATACTGTCTAGTCATGTTGCTTTGTCATTCTCAATTTATCTGCTGATTTGGTGATTTGTTCAATTGTTTTGTGTGGTGAAGCATCTATAAGAAGGTCTGTATTTACTTCGGTGTCTGGTGGGTTCGGCAGGGCTAGTCTACTCAAGAGCTCTACAGAGTGTTCTGATCACCTGTTCTGCGGCTCCTGATCCTTCTTTGATTCTACTGATCTATCTGGTTCACTGTATTCTTCTGTTCTCTCGTACAGCTTTTTCTGCTGTGATTGTTAAGTCTTCTACGTATTTTTGCTTGTCACCTTTAGTGCTCTTCATGACTCTTTTGTCTTGCTTCTGTATATTCAGCCTCTGATTTGGCTTTCTTTGCTTCTCGGTTGTTTTTGATTGCTATATTTTTGCTTTTCCTTTCTTGAATGCTGTCCAGGCAGTCTAAAGTGATTCACTCTTCATACTCGTGCTTGGGACTCAGCACCTCATTCCATGTTGAAGTTATTGCTTCCTTAATCCCTTTCCAGTCGTTGTCCATAGTGATTTCCTTTCCTTCTTCTATCAGAGCTTGTAAAGCTTGGAACCTGTTATTCAGACACTATGTTGAACCCTGTGAGCTCGTTAGCATCTAGAAGAAAGGCTGTGTTAATCTTTATGTCTGTTTGCCCAATTGTCCAATGCCTCTGCTTCAGCGATATCAGCCACTCCGTTTTCTTCTTATTTCTTCATTTGGCCTACTTCATGTTTCCTTAATTAAGAGGTGACTGATATAGCCTTCCGTAATGTTGTCCGCTGAAAGCCCTGCAGCTTTGTGTATGCGTTTTCAGTACAAAATGGTGCCACGTATACACATATTATTAAAAGTGCATATGTTTGTCAGTCTCTTACCTTTCTTGTTGTTCCTTCTGTCCATGTCAACCCATGATGTCTGCATACACGGTGTTGTGCACCCCAACCCTGGCGTTCAGGTCTACCATCAGAATAGTCGATCCTTTTCCCAATCATTTCTCTATGACCGACTGGAACTGGTTTTTATCGTTTCCACCGCTGTCATCGGTGTGCATTGTGATCGCTTCCTACTTTCCTTTAAAGGATGGTTTAATGATCCTGGATCCATGAATGTCCTATCTCATAAGCAATTCACGTGCTCTTTTGCACAATATCAATGCAATTCCCTGTGTATTGGAAGTATTTCCCTGAGGAGAGTAGTCATTTTTGCCCAATGAGTCCCACTTATTCCAACTGCGACTTGGTTGCACCGTCAAGGTTTCTGACATCGTTCAGACATTCCATGTTGCTCTGGTTTTCTGAAGACTATATATCATGTGGCTTTCGAAATATCTCGACTTTCACCATGAGACGTTATGATTCTCCTGTATGTAAACCCTTCAGCTCTCAATGTAGGGTTTGGATTGATATTGCTGGTGAATGTTCTTTTAACGGTATTTGCTTTTATAGGGTGGAGTTGCTAACAATACTCACAAGCCTCCTCCATTACTCGGCTTGTGACTAACAGTAACCCTGGAGAGGCTCCAAACGGAGTCAATGATTAAATCGCTGGTATATTGATATTTTTACATAAGAAGATTTTTTCTAAAATGGTAGGTAATTTCACTGAGTTTGAACAGTCAAAATCTGAATAATGTTTTTTCCCGAATAGACGCATGAGTAGATAATAATGATTTATTTGTCCAATGAATTTACATTTTTCGGAAAGCATATCACAAATAAACAACAAAGACCACACGAAATCCTTGACACTTTTTATTCGTCCGCTTTACCTCTCCATCTCTTCAAATTTCAGTTTTTCTTCGATCATTCGATATTCTAATCGAGAATATTAATGATTTGGAAAGTTCTAAACTACAAAAATTGACATGTAAGACCGTTCAGAATATCTTGATGTTCAGTGATCCAGAATTTCAATGTAAGTTATATAAATGTTATATGGATTCCGTTTTTAGTTGTGTTTGTCCACTAGATATAATTCAGTACAATTTTGGATAATCATCAATTGTAATTTTGCACCAACGATCTTACTTCACAATCCTTAATTCGTGTATTGTATGAAGACAGTCAGTTGAAATCTGTGAACTAAGATTCAATCGCCTACTGCCATCCATTATTGAAATACATTTTCCGGTTTAAGATAATTATGTACCACAACCTTTTTTTTTATTATTAGAAGCTTTATTCAACATTATATTTTTGGTACAACATAGAATTCTCAGCATAAAGTATTTCAACAAGTTTCCTTTTCTTATACCTTGATCTATTGTGACGATAAATTTTGAATGATGACCGGTTAGATGTTAGGAGTTCGGTAATCCACATTTGATTAATGTTCGTTCGTTTCAATGCATATTGCCAGCCACCATGATGTCGATGATTGCACCTTTTTGTATCACGTATAGCGAAAGGTTGTAAACTTTTCATAAACGCGCCTGGATAGGTTGTGTGCTTAATGAACATAATGATGAACTAAAACAAACAACAAAACAGATAACTTGATGAAATATGTAGATCGGAGGAACAGGTAGCCCAGGTATTCAAGCAGTCCGTCTGCTAATCAATGGGGCTAGTGTACTATTATCCAACAGTTCGTCGTTGACTGAGATGGTTAACAATAGTGTGATGCTTGCATCTCTATCATCTACCTTGACATCCAATGTTGGTTGACATAGAACTAGATTGAAAAACGAGAAGGTTGGAAAAATTAACAGATGCCATCATTTCATGAAGTTATTAGCTGTCGATATGATCCATTTTGAAAGGTACAAACATCGTGGTTTGGGTCGACGCAACATTGCTAATCGAATTCTAAATAAAATAGTCCGTTTTATTAAACAAGTTTTTTTCGAATTAACTGGTATCGTATAATAGATTGAAAGAAGGTAACAAAAAACCATTCAGATAAAAGCGTCAACAAATCTGATAGAAATTGTAACAGTCTATTGTCACCATTAATTTTATAGCAGTCATTTATGAAGGTATGTATATAATATATGATGAGCGCAAAGGTATTTACTCTCTGCCACTGCTGATACTAATACTCCAACAGACATGCTCACTATTCTACAAACACCACTATTCTTTTGCTCACACTAAAGAGTATCTTGTATCTGCAATCTGTCATTTCAATTGACATTGTGTAAATATTCTCATACTATGAATGATGTGGTTGTTAAGGTGTCTATCCATCAAACATGATTGATACATTGTGCAGTTTAAGTAGACTAGATGTGAACATGAATTAATTCATTGAGCATTAGTTATTTAGACAGAAACAGGATACCATCAACCAACACTGTCATAATCTTTTTTTTTTATTAGTAAAATATATTCATATTCAACTATTCGGTTAATTAATAGAATATTGAGTTTTTTATTTACTGTGAATAACCGAATTGCATAAATTCCGATGCACACAAAAACAAAATGCGTTAAAATACTGATAGTTCATGAAATATATAGGTGTATCGCATAAATAACTCGTGATCTAACATTCCACAGTTTCATTAATTTGTTAAACATGGGGTATGGTATTTTCAAACTCTGTATTCGGTGATGATTTACGGAATTACCACATGATAAGAGACATTGTATTTTATATTGCCTAGATAAATAAATTAGTTTACATGTGTAAACCTCTATGATATTTCTGTATTTAAAACTTTTCACTACATTCTTGTAATAAACACATTAAAAAAACTGTTTTAATGTCAAATATTTTCTTGGTATTTTATTTTCAGGTGTCATACAATCACCTTATATTCTATTAGATGGTTTAATAAAATTCGTTTTATTACATGGCAATTTCGGTCTCTACGAGCATTTGCTTTTATTTCTTCGAAAAAAAGTTCGTCATTTTAAAGAACTCAACGTGAGTAGATGTGATGTATTAATTTAAAGATGTTTGTATACTTTACTATGATGAGGGCACACTAAATTACCTGCGTAAAAGTCAATATATTGTGTCCGCTTCACTATTATCATTCATCAGAATCACACGGAGTCGCACTCAACACCTTGAGTTTTCTGACTGCACGATAGCATTGAATACTTGATATTCCAGCTTCATATATTTTATGATCATCTCGGAACCGCTATCACTCCACTACCTGTCCATTTGATTCATGCAAATCATCTCTCCTAGTTTAAACAACAGGAAATGCATTTCAATGATACTTCATTATTACCCACAGAATTCTTATTGAATTATGTATGTATGGATATTGTAAATTTGTTCAATTTGTCCACTCTGAATTTATTTTTTTAAGTATGAGGTTAATAATACTTTGATGTCTACAGCTGTCCACGTCTTAACTGTATAATACCATAATTAATAATTCATATTAAATTGTCAAGAACAACTACCCACATATAACCGCCAAATGCCCTGGTACTGTCGAGAATGGTGAGAATCCCGTCTCCCTTTCGAAATGCTCGCATATGGCCACGAAAAGCGAATGTCCAGCATCTAATTTGGATTGGTGGGTACAAAGGATCCACATAGAACAGTTGAAAAACCCTGATTCCAAACCAATCGTGCATATGGTCTCCGGGATCCTTAGAGAACAAATGGCGTACGAGCCCATGTTTGATCACCGTCTACCATAGGACCACACACATATTACTCTCCTGCCGCAGCCTTGTAGGTTGGACTAAATCTCTGAGTCACAGGTTCAGGGAGAAAAACACCCGGTTCGGTTTGGTTTCTCTGGTAGTACTCGAGTGCACACACATATTTAAATATAACTTGTGTTGCGCATATATGGTTTTGTGCTACTTTATACCAATGTTCATGTGTTTAAATAAATCATTAAAGTAAATCAAATATTCCACTAGCATTTTCGCTTACTTTTGTTGTGTTATTTACACAGTCTCAGTTAGATAACATAATTAGTGAAAATGCATTCTCACAGACAACATTGAAATTTGAAAACGATCAAGTGGAATTAATCAAAATTATATCTGATAATATTACGAAATGGATACAACCATATCTTGATGCATTGTACGTTTCTCTACATGAAGATGATAGGATGGACTATATTCAAAATGATCTTGATAAGTCATTGTGTCGAGTAATGGATTTCAATGATATGGTTCCATTTTTAATTTTCAAATCGGATTACACATCACTTCTATATTTGAATCGTTACACGGATACTCGCACGACATTATTATTGTAAACAATTATTTATTTTATTTTGAAAAATAAATAAGTTTTATTAGTTATTTTTATCAACTGTCCTTTTATCTCCCGTTTTGTGTCTTCACACACATATCAGTGTATTTCAACATACACTTTCATATCATATTTTTATTTTCCAGAATGGCTGGAAAGGACAAAAATCGACGAATCGAAATCTTCTTTGTATCTTTTTTTATTAATTTATTATACCATATGGCCCCTGGTAGTAGGAAGATACAAACAGACGCGTATAAACAAAGCACGTTATCAAAAGAGCGAATACTAACTCCAAACGCCTTAGGTTTAAACATCTAGGTGGTCATGTCTTAGCGTTGTCACTGCCCTACCAAAGGGAGAGTGATCTTCAACGGTAAATAAATCCCCAAATTCAATATGTTTTTTAGTCCGACGTTTCATGCTTACCACGTTAATGGACTCACTTAGCTGAAGGAGCTCGATCATACATCCGCAGTAGGTCACGTGAGGGAACGCCATGCTTAACTTCCCCTGCAACCGCTAACCAGTTTAGATCAGTCGATTCCCGACATATTGATAACCTATCAAATTTATCTTCGAATCTCCTCGTCTGAGTTTTGATTCCACTGAGTGGCACGATTCAGTTATAGATGTTACTGGTTAAATTGTTGTCAAACTGCAAATACCTGAGGCATCTTCAGCCTGATATGTTTCTGCAGCAGTCCAGACTCCTAAGGGATTGGAATACATAATAATTATTATGGTGTATAAGACAGCAAGTAGAAACCTGGAAACTATTTACCCGTTAGTTTAACCAGTGCATTTGTAAAACTAATTGAAAAGATCATTCGGATGGCTATTATGAACTGTGTGGAGGGGCACAATCTTTTGAAGTTACCACAAGTATTCGGAGTTCGACGACGCTTGAACCAGTAATACCTAATATGAAGCATACCCACCAAGTAAAATCAAGAGAAAGAAGCGAGGAGGTTCGAAGATATATTTGATAGGTTATCAATATATCGTGGATCGGCTGATCTACTCTGGTTAGTGATTGCAGGGGATGTTGAGCACGGCGTTTCCACTCGTGATCTGATGCGGATGCATGACCGAGTGCCTTCAGCTAGGTGAGTTCATTAAAACTAATGTTGTCAACATCCAATATTGAAAACTTACAGAGCTATTTATTTTGAGGATTTATTTACCGCTACACTTTCACCAGGGAACAACATGGTTTACAGATATTCTTATCATGATTGACAAATCTGCTCATCTCAAGAGAAGATTGGGCTGTGACAAAAGATCGAAATATTCCTGTAGATATTGATTTTCATAGTTCTAAGTAAAGCCTTTGATAAAGTCTCCCATCCGGGTATTAAATTAAAACTGCAAAGTTTTGGAATCCATTATAGGGTCATAAAGTGGACAAGCGACTTTCCCTGACTATAGACAGAAGGTAAAGGTAAACTGAACTCTCTCATCGTTAAATTAAAACTGCAAAGTTTTGGAATCCATTATAGGGTCATAAAGTGGACAAGCGACTTTCCCTGACTATAGACAGAAGGTAAAGGTAAACTGAACTCTCTCATCGTGGGAACTTACAAAAAGTGGAGTTCCGCAGGGTACAATCCTTAGTCAATTTCTCCTTTTATTTCACGTAAATAAATTACCAACCGTGGCGAAGTCATCCATTCTATTCTTCACCGATGACAAAGATTTGGGAACCTATACACAGTATGTCAGATAGAATAGTATTATAGGAAGATCATCGATTACATAGATGGACGGATGGTCACTAGAAGCGAATCCTAACAAGAGTGTGGCTATGCAATCTAATAACTATAGTGATTTATGTCACTACACAATACGTGGATTCGTGGTACTCAAAGTAATAAATTAAAAATATTTCAGGGTCATAATAAGCAGCGATCTCGAAACTACTAGTCACTGTAAGGCTGTTGCTACAAAAAGCTGTAGGGTATTATGGGCTATTCGTACGTCTTCCCGGTATTTGGATGAAGAAATATTTAGTTTATTTTACTCGACTTTCGTGAGAACGCATTTGGAATATGGGATTCAAGTAGCGAGTTCTTGTTTGAAATATGGGACGGATATGCTTCAATGGGTCCAACGTTGAGGGATCAAAATGGTAAATAGTCTCTCTAGCCTATCTTATGAAAACAGACTGAGACACCTCAACATATTCATGTTATCTTACATTAGAATACGAGGTGATCTAGTATTGGCTTATCGTATACTGAACGATGACTTTGGTGTTATTATATCCAATCTTTTCCTTCCATCTGGGACTGGTCATTCGAGAGGATATTCGAGGAAATCTAGAAAACCCAGACCAAGTCGTTTATGTCTGAAGTTTCGATTCTCGCATCAGGTAGGTAATAACTGAAATTCTCTACCAGAGTATGTAACATCAGCACCTGCTGTTGATATATTCGAAAAGAAATTGGACCTCTACAGCGCTAAAGACTGCAATGATTAATATAGGTCTACAGACCTTCTTTCCTTATTACTGAAAACTGAAAAAGTTAATGTGTCGGCGGCCCTACTTTAAAGCA